TGTCCGCTGAACTATTAAGTCACCGCGATTTACATCCTCTCAAATACTATGTCGGGCCGGGGTGTGAGGGGGGGGGGGGGGGGGGGGGGGGCATTAGGATTGGGGATTCAACATTTTGGGAGAAGAATTTGTATAAATGCCACCCACATGAACTTACTCAATGGTTCAGTAGACACTATTTGCAAGAAGATATCAAGATTCGAACCTCGACAGTGTATACGGATCGCTAGTACATACATGAACATTGATTAGCTTGAACAATCCTTTGCTTTACATCTCATCTACTAGATACCCAAACATCAATATATGTATATTAATTTATTTAAATATAGTCCATGTATATATATTATAGTTGGTGCCACCTAAAGAGTATACCCAATGGGGTGAGGGGGAAAAGGGATGAATGTAACTTGATTGGGCGTGTGTACATTGTTCCCTCCACTCCAAACAATTGGGCGTTGATTCTTCAAGGGGGTTCATAAATAATTGCATTTTTAATCAATTCTTTAATTAAATTAATTAGGGTTAATTAAAAAAACAAATAAATCTTTGTGCTGTAGATCTTCTGATCTGTGCACAAGATTTGTTTCAGGTGATAAAATCATGGTCATCAGGCTTTATTTAATTTTTTTAATTTCTCCCTTTCCTGGCTTTATTAGGCAGTGCATATAGTACAACCACTTCTGTTTATTTTAATTATTACTTTTTTCACGCATGATTAATTATTGTTTTAATAATAGTGAGTTAGTATATATTTAGGTTTTTTGTTTGTAATTTAATAATGGGAGATGGATGATTAATGCTAGAAGAAAGCAAAACTACAATTGATATTGTATTACGATTCTTAACCAATAATTAAAAAAATACATTTCGTATCGACTATTCAAATTGTGGTCACGTCTCATATAACTGGTTTAACCAAAAAGGTATTGACTATAATTAAACTCGTGACATTTTAAGTACTTTAATCATAATTCATTATGATTATTTCCGATATTATCACCTTCAATAACTTTCCAGAAGCTCTTGATTATTTATTTATTTATTTATTGCTTTATTAAATTCCCACTGTCTTTTTGTGCCGTATTTCATTATGTCATGTACAAATAATTTAGTTGAAATTAGCATGATTGAACTCATTGAAGGAATAGTCAAAGATGAGAACAGTTGAAGATTTGACTGTCGTTTTCCTATTAACTGAATACCTGCTCTCTATTAAGTATGTGTTAAATAAATAAATAAATAAATACTATTATATTGAATCACTAAAATTCGTATTAACAATAATTCAAACAATTAGGAGAATATATTCCCTTTTCATATGCATGAATTAATAAAGTAATTAGTGAGGTTGAAATTGAGGTCTAGAGTTTCACTAAAGACAAATGTTTTCATATAGCTTTAGTGATGCAATTGATATTGTATTACGATTCTTAATCAATCTTTACTATTTATTTAATATATTGTTATTTTATTTACAAATTAAGTTTGTAATAAATACAAATATTGCATAAAAAAATTAGAATTTGATTTGATCAAGATCGACATATTTATTATTGAGAATCATAAATCAACGCAGATGTTACATTACTATATTGCAAAGTATTAATTGCTGATCGAAGACGACATTAGTGATTATTAGTGATATTTCTTATAGTTATAATAATTCAATTTATTTATTGGTGTACTATATATATAATAATAACTAATTAACTACGCAAGAGTATGTATGTATTATCATTAAAAGGGGAATAATGAAAGTTGATTTTCTTTCTCTTTACCTCTTTTTTACCTTTTTGAAAGTTAATTTGGGTGTATAGATACCTTGAGTGTGATAGTTTTGTGTGCCCATAATAATGCATTCACTACTCAAAACCCATTATTATTATTTTTAAAGCAAAAAATGAGAAAAAGGGTAAAAAGCTAGATAAAGCTGTGGCTGTGGTGATTAACTTATACAAAATTTTTAAAGTGGGTATATAGAGTGTATGTATATATATGTGTGTGTATTATGAAGCAATATAATATTTAAAGCATTAATTTAGCAAAAAATAAATAAAATTTTTTTAAAAAAAGTATGGCATCCATCATTCTATTGATGGCTCACTTGATGGTTCATACAAAACTATAAATCACATCAATAATGAAAAGAGTTAATGTACCATACCTTTATTTTAGCTCGTTAATTTTCTTTTTACCCCTACCACCCTATTTCTTTAATTTACAAAAAAAAAAAAAAAAAAAAAAAACTTATTTTTACTATTCGGATGTGATCTTTGGAGTTTGGAGTGAATCCCGCCTTCCAACAAAGAACCACAATGATTGGACTTTGACTCAAATTAAAAATGAGAATAGGTAACTCATAGTTAAGCTCGAGACCTTATGATTAATAAGTAAACTATTCTACCAATTCGGTGAGATTTTAATTAATAATCCACTTACCAATCATTACATACGGTTGAATTATAACTTTAATTTTTTTCTATTTAAAACCAAATAGTAGTTGATAATACATAAATTTTTCATCCTTTTCACAAATGATAAAACACACCAAATTAGAATAAAACCTATATAAGACACGACTCAAATTTAAAATGTTACTTGAAAGAAAATCAAAATCTTTTCGTTCCAACTACAATTAAGTAGATAGAGAAAGATAAATAATGGGAAAATGTAAATTGTAAAATGCAGGTGGATGGTTAGATGCATGGGCCACATGGTAATGTGGAGTCATTCACAGTTTTGAATGGTCAAGATTCAAATGATTGGAATACATCTTGTTATGCATAGGATCCTTTACCCTTTTATGCTTTATACATAACATTTTTTTTTCTTCCCTTTGAATGTTCAACTATTTAAAAGTTAGGAGGACTCAAAGTGAAAATTATTATCCTTGACCCAAAAACAAAAGAATTTAACCCACCTAAAGGATGGTGTAATTATTATTATTATTATCTTCTTCTTCTTTTTTTTTTTTTTTTTTGCGACGGTAAGAGAATTCCTCAATCACTTCATTGGGTAAATTTTACTGCGGATCATGGTTTATGTAGCACATGGACCATGAAGTATGTATCATTTTAATTAGACTTCAGTTTCATTTGACAATATTGTTATGTTTTTTAGTTTTATTTTCCATCCACACTACTTTCATTATAGCAATATTAAAGTATCATTTTAATTTGATAATATATATTATTGTCTGAGTTTTATTTTTTGTTTCATTTTCCACACACACTAGTTTAATTATAGTAATGTTGAAGTATTATTTTAATTGCACTTCAGGTGATTTGATAATATATGTTATTGTACGACTCTGGATTTTAGTTTCATTATAGTAATAAAAAAGTATCATTTTAATTACACTACAGTTTCATTTGATAATAATGTGCTCTGTTTTTTAGTTTCATTTTCCACACACTAGTTTAATTATAGTAATACCAAAGTATCATTTTAATTCTACTACAGTTTCATACGACAATCATGATCCACACAATGATGTGTGGACCATGGTCCACTGTATAACAACTGTAAATTTTATTATTGTGTAATATCCCGTAAATTATACAAAAGATGTAAACTGAACTAGAAATATTCTATGCAACAGACTCGACTAATAATGTATTGACAATAATTAAATTCAGCTCGTGACATTCTGGTATGAGAATTATGCTCAATCCAACTTGTCCACCGTATCCTTTTGGGGCAAAGAATGGTGTAATTTTGTGGAGTGAAAATGAGGATTAGACTCATCCAAACAAAGGAAAGTAGAAAGGATGCATGATTAGAGCAAGCAGCGTGACCACAATCTCGTGAGTATCTTTAGATGGGGGTAATGAACCTAAAAATAGATATGTAGAAAATTGGGAGGGGGCCCCAAAATAAAGGATGTTAGGAAGGAAATTGATGTTTGGATTATTATTATTTATTATTATTATTATTATATTTTTTTTAAATTAAATTTTGTATAGTTTGATTTTAATTGTGACAGGTATTCATTTCTGAAAAAAGAGAGTTAATATTCAAAATGAGTAATCAACTATGTTATATTTTATCCCATATCATTTTATGTGTTTGATTCTATTAATTTATGTACAATCACTTGATATTTATTGATAAAATTTTATTGAGCAACTTGTAATTTATAATCTGTATAAATTGAATTATATAGTTAATATATAATATATAAAATACCTTTTTATATAAAAAAGACATAAATACCTAGTAGATTAAAAATATATATATAGAGTTAAAATTAGTAAATACAAAATAACTTTGGAAATGATGTAGCTTTTTTGCCCCTATAAACATAGTAATTTTGTCACTGTCACTATTTTAAGACTATTTCATAAATTTTATATAATCTTTTTAATTACACCTTACTTTTTCTATATTATGGTTAGGACCTATTAGAATAAAATATATACACTGAGTTATAACTAATTCAAGATAGAATTATTATGGTGCTTCAAATGAATAAGCTCACACTAAATCTTTTTTATAAAAGAAGAGACAATAATTTTAATAATCCTGAGTGTTGATTTAAAAGCTCATACTAAATCGCTACCGTATTTTTTATTTTTTTAAATTTTGATAATCCTGAACGTTGATTTAAGCAAAATCAATGGTTCAGATTTAACTGCACAACGCACCTTAGTGCACCAACTGCATCTGAACCTAATTATATATATATATATATATGGGGAATCAAAAGTTGGGGAAACTAGTGTTGGGCATAGGTTCAACCAAATCAAACCTAAACCAAAGAAAAAGCCAACTAAAACCCCAATTGGAGGAATCAATAAAATCATGGTACAACCACTCATGGGCCCCACTGCGAGTGATAGTGTATATGATTTGTGCACTCCTTACACCACAAGCGTGCGGTTCGCACGTATGAACACTACCACGCCCCCCCTCCCAACCTGGAAAATTAACCAAAAATTAAATAAATAAATAAATAAAAAGACATCAATTTTTTTTCTTCTTTTAAATCCATTTTTCCTATATAGCCTCCCTCCGTGCACTCCTCGTCTTTGACTCTGCTCTTTCTCTCTCTGCAAATCAGCATCACGCGCCCTCTCTCTCTCTCTCTCTCTATCTCTCTCTTGAATCTCTGTGTTTTTCTGGGTTTCTGAGGATAAGCAAATCTGAGTGCCTGATTTGGACCTTCATTCACTGTAAGTTCTGAGTTTTCTTCCCAAAAATGCAATCTTTGCTAGATTTTGTCTTCCTGTTTTTTATATTTTCTTGCCATTTGCTTTTGGCTGAGATCTTATACCCCCTTCCTTAGCTCCTTTCTTGTGTAAATCTGGGTAAATGAAGATAAACTAGGAATCATCTGAGTTATTTTCATTCTCCCCTGTGCTCTTAGTCTTGGTCAAGAATGGACAGTAAAAAGTAAATCCTGCCAATCAGCTGTAATTTTTCATTAACTTTTCTAGTTTACTTTTCAAATGCTTGATAGACCATGTTGGCTTTCGTTAGCTCTAGATTATTCTATGTAAAGATCCTGCTTTTATTATTCTTAGGTATCTGTTAGTATTTCTGAGCACAAAGAATAAACTGTGATTCTGTGAACCTATTCCAATTAGATAAAGCAGTGATATATATATTGTTACATATTGAAAAATTTGCATTTGTCTGCTAAGGGGTGGTAAAAGTTTTTTTTTTTTTCCTCTTGTTATCTTGTTCTTGTGAGATTTATCTTCCTAGGAGGTGGAAAAAAGTTTTTTTTTTTTTTTTTTTTTTTTTTTTTTTTCTGCTTTTATCTTGTTCTTGTGAGATTTATGTGGCTGCAGTAGTGATATGTGTGAAAAAACATTGCAGGGAGCTTAGACTAGATTAAGAAACTCAACCAGCAACAGCTGTGGCGAACTTGCAGAGTGAAGAACACTATGCGGTGGTATAGTCTTTCAATTGATGTGTTTCGGAAAGTGATCTCCTTGAACTTGTACTGCCGTGTGATTCTGTAAAATTGACCTCGCTCTTGTAATCAGTTCTTGATTTATTGCTCATTTCACCCCCCTAGAGAATAGTTTGTTGTGCTTCTTGCAATGGGATCCACTCGTTTCATTGTCATTCCTTGCTACGTCCGCTGGATTAGCTGAGATTTACCTTCTTTTCCGGCTTCCTCCCTGTTGTTTTCTCGAAGATTTTTGAACCATTGCCTTTCTAGCGTTTGCTTGTTTGTGTCTGTTTTGATTCGGTGTTGTAGATTTAGTCTCGAGAGTATTCAATTCTAAAGCCTTGCCAATCAAGTTTGTGTCTTTAGTCTTGAGAGTATTCAATTCTAAGCATTGCCAATCGGTATCTGGTGGGTATTTCTTGTGTGGTTTTGAGTAAAAGGTGCGAGTGTTTGGGATCTTTGATAATTTTTTGCTGGAAGATTGCGGTGTTGCTTTGTGAGGAAGGGTTGGGAACAAGTAGTTATGGTAAGCCAAGCAGCTAGTAAGACGAGATTCCGGGCATTGAAACATGAAAATGGAGTTGCGGGGAGTGCCACCATAATAGTTAGAGTCATAGCATGCTTTCAACCTCTCCAGGATTGCCAGGTTAGTGTTGGTTTATAATTCCACCGTTTTTTTTTTACTCTTAAATTTATATTATGCCAAGAACAGTTACTGATAATTTGAAGCATGTGTTCCATTTCAACTAAAAGCCTAAGCTGATAGTTGGATTGCACATTAATGGTTATATGCTCAACACTGGTTGGGAGAAAGCTAATGTTCGTTTTGTATGATATTTTCAGGCTGAATATTTCCGTCACTTGTTGAAACCTGTAACGTAGATTGATTTTCTTTCCACTGCATTCAAGTTAAGCCGAAGATTTTTCATTTTTCATTATTTCTCAATATCTCAAGAAGTGTTCAGCAGATCGTAGTACCAAAAACTATCGTAGAACTGGTATGTTTTGCCATGTCTAAGTTGTTAATTTTATCATTTTGAGGATTGGAAACATCTTTTGTGAATTTCATTATGAATACGTTTGCTTCCCAATGTTTATTGTAGGTGATTGCTGCAATTGAATGGAAAAGGACTTTAATTCTTGGTTCCAGCACCGGTGTTTAGACGTGCAATCACCCGTCTTGAATTCTTCGGGTGCACGAGTTGATACACAACTGCAGAATAATTTTTCTGCATTTATGATTCCTTGTTACAATGGGGTATCGACAAATGGGAATTTTCCCTTGTCCTCGTATACTGCCCCGCTGCAGTTTAGGGCAAACCAACCAAATGAGCCTCGGTTTTACGGTTTGCCTAATTTCCATCAGGGCTCAAATCCGTTACTGAAATCCGTAACTAAAGAGAAAGATCCAGCTGGGTCGGTTCAAAATCTTGGATGGATTGGAAATCCCGCCGAAAGGAAGTTTCTTGTTTTTGATCAATCTGGTGATCAGACGAGGTTGCTCTACAGTTCTGCAAATGATGCTCCTGCAACGGGTGTTCTTCCGTGGCTTCAAAAGCCGCCTTCAATGGCTTATAATTCGACGAAGGGTCAGCTGGGGAGTAGAATAAACAAAGCGTCTCCCCTGGGCCGCTTTCTTGGTGACGAATGTATTGAAGACAACCTTAGAGGTGGTGTCGAGGAAAGTGAAATGCGGGAAGATACTGAAGAACTAAATGCTCTACTCTACTCTGATGATGATGACGATGACGATGATGATGATGACGGTGAATACTCCGAGGACGACGAAGAAATCAGCACGGGTCATTCTCCTAGTACCATGACAGCACATAATAAGCACGAGTGGCTCGACGAAAGGATTGAAGAAGTTGGTAGTTCCGATGAACCATCCAAAAGGCTTAAACTGATCGACGGTAGCTATGGTGTTCCGTGCCCTCTAGACAATGCAACGCCCGCAAAACCCTTTGGATGCTCCGAGCTAGAGGACGATGCAGAATCTAGCTGTGGCAACATCGACGAGGACTACCAAGTTTCAGGGGTATCGGGGAGGAAAAGATCGAGAAAAGAGAAAATACGGGAAACCCTAAGCCTTCTACAGAAGATCATCCCCGGTGGGAGAAAAGGCAAAGACGCAATGGATGTTATTGATGGAACGATTCGGTACTTGAAATCCCTGAAAGTCGAGGCCAAGTCTCTGAGGCTTGATGCGCTCTAGAACCAAACATTATTCGAGCACCGAGTAACAGTAGTAGCAGTAGTAGTAGTACTAATAGTGGTGTCTTTTCCATACCTTTTCTTTTGCTGCAATGTTTGGAGTACTCCCCGATGGTTTGTCAATGGAATAAAGGGAGTATAAGTACATTCTAGAGAGCTCGATCAGACTGATTGGCGAAGGGAGGAATGAGCAGTTCTGGTTTAGAAATCCGGGGGCTAAGAGTCATGATATGATGAGGTAATATCTTGACGCCTAAGAGAGGAAAAGAACACGCCGGCTTGCTTTGAGAGTTGAGTTGTTTTCTGGGAATGGATGATTGTGTGTTGATCCCCCATGGGACCCTGGAAAGGGAGGAATGCACGCTTGATGGGGAATTTGGGTCCCAAACCTCACTTTCCACCCCCTTTTTTTAGATACTGTCACATTACATATTGTGGGGATTCCCCAATCTTATCCCACCAGTAAATCACAGCAACAACAATCTGCAACTATTGCTGCACTTTCGCGTTACATCAGGTATTCCCCGCCCCCCGCCTTCATCACCCCGGGACCACTCCTTTCCAACAGGTCTTACCTGACACGAACATGATTAGTCTTAGCTGAATGGTCAAGAAAACTGGGCTCGAGGTCTTACTCCTGAACATGATTAGTCTTTAGCTGAATGGTCAAAAGAACTGCGCTTCAGGTCTTACTTGACACGAACATGATTAGTCAGTCTTTTAGCTGAATGGTCGGGAAAAAAGAACCTTTTTGTCGAGGTCTCATATCGCCAGATGAGCCGAGTAACTTGCCTTGTGTGGGGATGACATGTTTATATATATTATATATGTGTATATTTCTTTCCACATATATATATAGTTGTTGTGATGCATGCTTTGAAGCCATGATGATGGTGATATGTATTTTTTTTTTCAAATTATTTTAGTATTTGGGTGAGTGTTTTTGTGAAATTGTCTACCATGGCAAATGGTGTCATAGGTTGTCTTTATCTCTCTTGTTCTTACATGGCATGCACGCATTCTACAAGTGTGAGACAGATATGTTTGAGTTTTGATTCCTTTGCCAATTTGTATAATGTAATGGTCTACAGTTGCTGGGCCCCACATGTCTTGCATTATTTACCCAAAAAATGTAAAAAGAAAAAAAAAAAAAGCATACACTTAACGTGGAAAACAGGATAAGACCCAGAGATAAGACTTAATTAAGGAAGTTTTGTCTTAACTTTAGGATTAAGAATCCCATGATTAATGATACCACGCGATACTCGTGTTTTCCACTAATTATTATTGTTTGGAGGAGATTAGGCGGTTGACGACAATGATGGCGTGTGCTTTCTTTTCTTAACCGGACAACAATTATCAACAATTTCGTGTGTTGTTATCACTAATTACTTTCTTAATTATATATCATATTAGATGATGATAAACGCTTCAAGGTGTAAACGGACGTTTGACAAAAAAAAGGGAGTTGAATAATAATTAGAGGATGATAAACGCGTTAAATAAATTGCATATTATCTCTATTAGTATGATATTCATAAATACTTTTATTTTAAATAATTTTAAAAAAAATTGAATACGATGACACACATTTGAACCGTCTAAATTACATTAACTAGATAGTTCATAAAAAATAAATTTTCTTTTAAAATATTTTACATAATTAAATTACAAAATATATTTTATATTAATTAATTAATCACTTTAAATAACTTTTATCACATGTAACTTATTATAAATTTCACAATTAATATACAATTACAATTATAAATAAATTTTACAAATCACAATTTTAATTATGATGGGAAGATAAAATTAAAATATAATTATATATTCAAAGTATGTCAGAGAAAAGTATTTTGTGTTGCAACAAATTATGTAGTTGGCAATATTTGATAATTTTTATGTATAATAATATATTATTTAATCTTACCGAAGCATATATATAATATATGTATAGAGGTTTGATTCCATTTAGGGTCCGTTTGGAAAGTAGGAAAATGACTTTTGGAAAATGTTTTATGAAAAATGAGTCATTTTCCAGAAAATATTTTCCATTCCGGTGTTTGACTGTACAACAGAAAACTGTATTTGTGTGTTTGGCTCATTTTTCAGAAAATGAGAGAGAATGAGCAAAATTGCAAAATTTAATACTTCACCTTTGATTTAGCTTGTCTAGAAATGTATAATCTTCAAATCTTTAACATATAATAATAGATATGACTTCATTGTATAAATTTCAAATAATAAATTTATTATAAATTTATTTTAAAAAAAATTAAAAAAAAAATTGGATTGGTTTCATTGCTAGAAACCAAACCAGAACACTGGTTTGGTTTCCGGCAATGAAAGCAGTCACCGGAAACCAGATTGGTTTCTGACTTGGAAAAACAGATTTGTGGGTTTCCAAGTCGGAAACCATACGTTTCTGGTGGTCGATCTCTGTGCGAAGAAGAAGGTCGATCTTTGTCTAAAGAAGAAGGTCGATCTCTATGCGAAGAAGAATGTCGATCTCTATGCGAAGAAGAAGGTCGGTCTCTGTGTGAAGAAGAAGTTCGGTCTTTGTGCGAAGAAGGAAACGGCGTGGTGAATGTCGCGAAGAAGGAAACGACGTGGTGAATGTCGCGAAGAAGGTCTCTGTGCTCTCCGAAGAAGAAACGGAAAATGACTTCCCCTCTAAAAAAAGGAAAGTCATTTTTCGGAAAAATGCACCAATTTTCTATTGACCAAACTTCATTTTCTATTAATTTTAGTATTTTCCTCCTTGCCAAACACTAAAAACTCGAAAAATAATTTCTGGAAATCATTTTCCGGATTTCCAAACACACCCTTAAAGGATCCTCATAACAAATTTACGTAGTTTGAACTTTCTTAGCCTTATATTGGAATTGGATGCCAACTCTTTCATGGGCTTGATAGCTAGGCTAGTCATTCAAGGCCCATGGGCTTACTTGTAGTATTAGTTGGGCTTATAGGCCTAAAGCATACAGATTAACCAAGCCCACAACTTAATCTGCAGTTATACAATTGGCCAAGTCCAAAATACATAATTTATATATTGAATGTTCACAATTTGAATTGTGAACATTTAATATATATAAATTGTGAATATTTAATATATAAATTGTGAACATTTAGTATGCAAATTGTCTTTACTTCAATCATAATGCTTAGTCAAGAGAATAGAGATTATTGGGTTCATTTACCTTTGATTTTCGAAATAAAATAAGATTCAAATAGGCCATCCAACTACACAACAAACGAAAATTGAATCATCGAACTTAAAAAAAAATTACAATTAGGTCCCCAAAAACTGTAAATTCTTGCAATTCAATATAAAATTTTGTTATATTGAATTACAAAAATTTACATTGTTTGGCAACCTAATTGTAATTTTTTTGAATTTAATGATCCAATTGCAGTTTGCTATGTAGTTGAATGGACTATTTGACCATTTATTTATTTATTTTTGTTTTTTAACGTCATAAAAAGTCCAAACCACCATTTTCAAACACCTTAAAATTGAAATGCGTACAGATAATATATCCTATGGTTCAAAATTCTACTCATTTGGTCTCTGACTTTTTGTGGTATGCCTTATTCATAATGTCAATGGAACATCTCATCCAGTTGAAAAACGATCCCATCGCATTATTTGAATCCAAATTGACAAAATTATCAATTCCATTGACTACATGCAACTGTAATGTCAACAAGTGTTTTTTTTTTTTTTTTTTTTGTAATGTCAAAAGTTAGATTAGTAAATTAAGATAGAAGGCATTAGGTTAAAAAGTAATGAATTTGGTTTTTCTTAAGTCTACTAAATAAATATCAAAATATCGTGCTCCTAATGTTATAATAATAATTACAACTTCTGTGATACACAGATATTGGACAAAATTGATAATTGAGTAGATGTTTTAATAGTACAATTTTAAGTCGAACATTATGTTGAGTAAATGTTTTGAGTATTTTGACCGTTGTAATAATTCTTCAACAACTCTTTAATTTATAGGTTAAGTGTGTTATTGTTTCGACTTTATAGATAAAAATTAAAGCATTGGACCTTTTAGAATGATTTTCTTGATTATTCCATTAAGGCCCTGTTTGGTAAAATGGCTGTTAGCTGATAGCTGTTAGTTGTTAGCTGATTGTGTTAATTAGAGGGTATAAATAGTTGATAACATTAGCTGATTGTAGAAAAGTGTTTGGTAAATTAGCTGTTAACTGTTAGCTGTTTGGTATAATTTCTTTTCTCAAAAAGCTAATTGAAAAAGTTGCTTGGGGTAGCTTTTTCAATTTTAGTCATTTGGAGTTGTAAAAAGCTAATTAACCAAACATTTATATTGATATTTTAACTAAATCAAACAATTAATAGTGGTCAAATAAGTCAAAATTGGTCTATAGACCAACTTTTTACCAAACAGGGCCTAAATATAAATTACTAAAACTTGGAACTTGGGAGCAAAGTGACAAGATTAGTTAATTTGAGCTACACCTGAAGAATTTTTTTAATGCTACTGACTGTATTACATTATAGTATCAGTTCAACATAATGAAGCACAAAAAGTCAACAACGCCTCCACTGATACTCAATTTCAAAACTTCCCACATTTGAAAGATCACTATATGCCATCTAAGCACCAGGTGCTTGGCACCAATAGAATTAATTTGAATATTGTATACACACCATTTCAAAGATGTCACCTACCCCATTTCAAAGATGCCAGAATTTAATATTAAAATAATATATGTACCTCGGAAGGTACTAAGGTAGTTAGGAAACTGATGCTTTTTTCATTATTTGGAAACAGTAAACATCACGGATAGACGTACATAAGTTAATCAATCTTTGATTTATTTTGGATAAAATTTTTCTATGTAACTTTAATCAGTAACAGATTATAAGAAAATAAAATACTTTGAATTGTTTATAACAAATCAATTTAAACCAAGAAAATTAATAAATAGTTTTAATGTATGAATAGTCAAACGTAAAATATTATGATTATGAAATCAAATATATACTAAATATACATGGCTGACTTTAATCTGGAAGAAACGAGAAGCTGGAAGAAGCTAGCTAGAGCGGTGGCAGTTAAACTAAATGTCCCATTCGTACCTAAATGATTGCTACGTTCCAAATCACACACACCAAAAGCAACATTATATTAAATAAAATAATAATGCCAATCTCAATATCTTGTCATGGGTAGCTTAGTTAGTCACATAAATAAAGTTTGGAAACAATGATCTGGGATTGCGTCTCACCAACGACAGTGAAGCGGCTCCTTATGCGCAATAAGTAAAGGTTTAGCCTTTGTGTGTTCAACAGAGTTATCATGATTTACAGATTTAGCATCTTTGTTCAGTTGAGTTACCATGATTTACATCATCCTATATGCTCTGTCGGGCCGATACGTCAGGGCCTTTGAAATTAGGGATTCAACATTTTGGAAACAACAAAGAATTGAGGTTAATTAGTACAAAACTATGTGGGATTGCTGACGTGGAAGTGAGTAATTGAGTAGTTTTGAAGGAATGTTAGGGGGTGGCCTGGGGTGAATGAAATGTATAGTTTAAGTAAGCTGTAAGCTAGGACAATAAATGTTCATCTACATAGTGCATCACAATCTTATTTCTTTAATGTTTCAACCACCCACATGTTGCAATAGTTCTAATATGTTAACCCTAATTTATGAAGACTAAGACATGTAAACTATGTTGGTTGTACACAAATTAATGATTTTTAATTTATGTACATAAATTTAGAGATTTAATGAAAGAGATAATTCTGCATAAATAAAGTACTTTTATATAATATAAATTACTTATTGTAGTGAAACGGAATTTAATTTCACTACAATACTATAAACACTATTTGGAGATGTATTTTGATAATTTATTGAAAATAAATTAAATTACTACTCCTGAACTTAATTAGGCTACTTTATTTAATGTAACACACACACACACACACACACACACACACATATATATATATATATATATATATATATATATATATATATATATATATATATATATATATATATATTATTCATATATGTTTGATTTGATTAGTGGCAAAACAAATTGACCAATGATACGATGATCACTACATCTGGGAAAAGCACAGGGGGCTGTCCCACTTCAAAGACTACATACGTAAAGTTGCAACTTATGATTTTCGCAACCAACATTATTGTTAATTCTAGTTTTGAAACTTAAGTTTCAACACTAATAAGTTTACAACTCTCTTCTATCATTGATTACCAACCTATGGCCCTAAATAATTACAGATCTCACCCTAAAAGGATTGATCAAGTGGATGGGTAAAGTATGATAATTCTTGTACCAAAAATCACAAATTAAATTTTCTGTCAACATTATTTCAATCGAGTCCATTGCACAAGGTCGTCTTCCTAGTGTAGTTTATCTCTTTAACTCTACAAGAAATTATGAAGAAATTCTTAGGATATGTTTGGAAACCTAGAAAATGATTTCGGAGGAGGGTGGAAAATTAAAGTCAATGGAAAATGACTTCCGGTCAAGAGAAAAATAGCTTTGTTTTTCGAGAAAATAATTTCCCATCTTTTTTGGGAGAAGTCATTTTCCAGATCCACACTTCTTCTTCCCCGACTTCTTCATCGGTTTTCTTCCACGAATGCTTCCTTGGCCATCCCAGTGTCTACCTTCTTCCATCATCTTATAATTTTGAGTTTTTTAACCTCCTGTAGCGGACATCGGCCACTGGAGACAGTTTTCGACTATGGGGACGAAAACCCAAAGCCAGGCAGAAACTGGACTATTCTGGTTTCCATCGGAAACTTGTACTCATCTATTTTTTTTTTATTTTTTTTTTAATTTTCTCTGTTATTTGGAAAAAAAAAATAGCAGGGTAAAACATAATTGTTGTCAAATATGTTTTTTTTTTTTTTTAAAGTTAACAACAATTAAAATTTTAATTATATAATTCTACTTATTTTTTCAGAAAATGAACCAAACACACAAAGACAATTTTCTAAAATGCAACTAAACATGGAGAATGAAAATGTTTTTTGAAAAATGACATATTTTTCATAAGTCATTTTCATAGTTTTCAAACATACCCTTAAAGTTTATGAATTATCAGTTATTGTATTAATTTTTTTAGGATACGTTCTTCCATTGAATTTCAATTCCTATCATAGCAACCAAAGAAAGAATGATGGGGGTACCCTTAAATGTTTGGATTAAATGTTTTCTAGGGTAAGTCAAGAAAAGTTAGAAGTATGGGGGTACCCTTGAAAAAAGCAGATTAAATTAAAGCAACAAGTCTGTCTTAAAGTTTGAGGGAACATTTTGATTTTTGACCCTAATACGTATTTAATCATCCTCTATATATTCCTTTCCCACTTCGATGCAATTTGCACGCCACCTTTTTATGCCCTCAACTTTTTCAAATTCTAATCAAGCCCATCTTTTGCCTTTTGCTTTGAATATTCAAATATTATATATATAGGATTCAAATAACATATAATAAAATTATGTCCAGAAAGAGATCAGATGACTGAGAGAGTAAAATCAATACTTTCTTAGTCGAGTCCGTTGTTATGGTCATTATAATCTCTATAATAGTGTTTCTAAAACCGTTATTTCAAATCTTTGGTGGGTGGGTATGAGAACTTCCAACCAAGTTAGTTGATTCGGTAATCACAAAGTTCTAAATTTAATTTCTCGTAACAACTATCTATTGGTCTTTTTGAATTTAGTTGGTCACCTATGGACAACCTAATTTGATTTATCTCTTTATGATTATTTGCCAACTTGAATCATAATGTGAGTTTTACTCAAAATACATATTTGGGTATAGTAGTAGTTGCGAACTTTTTCGTAAATCAAATAACTATTTCAAATCTAATTTAATAACCCTTTAATTGCTTTCAACATAAGAAAGTGGATGTCCTTAACACCGATATATAGTTTCTTTTTGTGATGAGTCTTCAATGAAAATGAATACTTCAATGCACATACAACAATTAAATGAAAATAATGAACCTATAGTACTATGCCGCCGTCCTTTTCAATAATGCTTTAGTGTAGGCATATTCAATTAAGACTTGAAATATTATTAAATCTCATTAAAAAAAAAATAATTCTAACTCAATACTTTGAAACCGTTAATAATGGATTGTTAATGAAATTGTAAGATCAAAATTGTGAAATACCGAACCTTGCCTGAATAAAACCTTAGCACTACTATATCATTTTCAAAATTCAAATTTCATTAGCTTATGTTGAGCATATAACCATTAATGTGCAATTCAACTATCAGCTTAGGCTTTTAGTTGAGATGGAGCACATACTTCAATTTAGTATCAGAGGCAGACCAAAGGTTATGAAATTTAAATCTTTACGTCACCCGATAAGCGATTACTGTCCACGTGTTGTTTGCAAGTTATTATACACTGAATTTATGTTTAAAAAAACACATAGACACAACTCCAATAACTATTTTATACCATAATATACAGCAAGTGTGAAAAGCAGTGAAAAACAAATGCTTAAAAAATCAGTCTTTCGTTAACTTTACCACCGCTACACTTCAAACCCTTCACCCACTTCTCCTTCTTCAGTTATGGCCTCTGTCTTCTTTCTCTCTCTTCCTTCCCGTAAACACACTCACTCTTCTTTCTTTCTCTCTCTATATCTATACATTTTACTGTCTCGCGTTCTGCTTCCATGGGTTTTCTTTCATGCAACGCGGAGGCCGCGATTGCCACCTGCGATTCCTACAACTGGGAATACTTGAAGAAGAAGAAGAAGAAGTCTAAGAAATGTGATCCCAGCAGACCCTTCGAGCTCAGGGAGTTCTCTTACTCTGATCTTCACGCCGCCACCAATGGCTTCTCCCAGGAAAATCTGCTCGGAAAAGGCAGCCATGGATTTGTGTACAGAGCTCATCTTCCTCAGGGACGGGGTAGCTTCGTCGCCGCCGTCAAGATCACGAAACAGAGCGAAGCTTTCGCCGGCGGTTCGCCGGCGGAGAACGAGATCGAACTGCTTTCGCGCGTGTACCACCCGCGGCTGGTGAATTTGCTCGGCTACGGCCTGCATTTGGATCAGAAGAAGTTGTTGGTGGTGGAGTTTATGCCGAACGGGTCGTTGTACGAGCTGCTTCATTGCCCGAAACGGCCGCCGCGAATCCCGGGATTGTATCTCCGGGTCCGGTTCGCGTTGCAGGTTGCGAAAGCGGTTCACTTTTGCCACTCGTCGAACCCGCCGGTTATCCACCGGGATATAAAGTCGTCAAACGTGTTGATCGACGGGAAGTTCAATGCGCGGCTCGGGGATTTCGGGCTAGCTTTGATGGGCCACGTGGAGGACGTGGCGGCCAAGTGCACGCCGCCGGCGGGGACTCTCGGATACCTCGATCCCGGATATCTAGCGCCGGGCGATCTCAGCACAAAATCCGATGTTTTCAGCTTCGGAATACTGTTAATGGAGATCATCAGCGGCCGGAATGCCATTGACATGAACTACAGCCCGCCGTCCGTCGTGGACTGGGTGGTTCCGCTAGTGAAATCCGGCGCCTACGCCGAGATTCTCGATCCGAGGATCGATACGCCGGAGGATGACGGCATAATGTGTCATCTCGCCGTGCTTTCCGCCCAGTGCGTCCGGAAAACCGCCACGAAGCGGCCGGCGATGGCGGAAGTGGTGGACTCCCTGAAAGCGGTATACAAGCGGGTAAAATCCCCGATTTGGAACACGATACGGCGGCGCGTGGACTGCGTCCGCGATTCAACGCGTGTGGCGGCCAGATACGAGCCCTTGGACGACAGTATGGAGGCGGTTAAGATTTCCCGAGCCGGTAGCCGGCGGACGAGGAAAGTATCCAGTGTAACGACAGTGGAATCTGGAAGCAATGTGATTGGTGGAAAAAGTATTCATCATGCGGTCAAGGCGAAATCTATCGGTTCCTTTGCGGAGATTTGCTACGACCCGTTGGATTCAATCAGTAACCAGGTGGGGCCTGGGATGGGTCCCAGGAGTGTAGGATTGGGTACGAAGATGCCCACAGTAAGATTGAGTAAATCGAGATCAATGGGAATGATGAACAGTACGGATACGAGGGCAAAGAATCCTAATGGCAATGAATTGGAAAAGTCAAAATTGTTAGTTGACCAAGTCAGAGTGACCCAAAAGGAAATTTCTTGATAGATTGGGCCCTTCATTGCAATTTACTTTAAGGAAGTGGTTTTGGATATCGTGGCATGCATAATGCATGTCTTTAATTCTTTATTTTACTTTTTTTTTTTTTTGGGAATATTTTGGTTTGTTGTAGGGTTGTGCCTCACTTTACTGTATCACTCAATTGCATACTCTTAATTTAAAAGAAAAAAAAAAATCATTGTTTTTTTTTTTTTTTTTAATTTAAAATTTTTATTCTTTGAATAATCTCAAGTAGATAGAGGTTTAAATAATTCTTATAATTTACTCTTAAATCTATTTTATAGTTATTTGACTCAACTCCCAGTAATAGCTTACAAACACGTCAAAGATCTTGTGTTACAAATTTGACGAATTCTTAACTTTTTAAGAATGAGAATTATATTTCACTCGTTCAGTCATCCATCCACATACGTACAAAACGACATTTTCGTCCATCATGAATTGTATTGTCAATATGTATGCATCCAAATGCATGCATGATTGCACGAATCTCTGTCATATTTTACTGGAGCAGCTAACATATCCATGTGCTAACAGCTGAGATAGATTGCCCACCACTGAAACACTACTGTTCAATTTTATTGTTCGGAATTGATTCGGTTAAGACAATAGCTCACTGGTCGGGATTTCGATGGAATGGGGCGGGGAGTATACCCCCATTTTTGTCTCCTAACCCCCACCTCTATCTCCATTCCCGTCTCCATCCCCATCGGGGATGAGAAATCTATCCTAATCTCCATTCTTGTGGAGAACTTTTGAGGATAGGGATCCCCGGTCAAACTTTAATTAAATTTGTGTGGGGATCAGGGATCACCATCGGGGATGGGGTAATTGACACCCCTACTCGTGGGACTTGCTTTTCACCAGCATCCTCCACTCAACAATTATATTATTCCTCATCTAAGCACTTGCTACCCATGAGGGTCAAATATACCACTTTTTAAGAACCAAACGCTTATCACTACGCTAAAAGATATAGCTCACAACAAAGGCATAACTCTATTTTCATATACCGCCACCATAATTTTGAAAGGCAAGGTGTTGTACTTGACCCTTCACTGACCCACACTCAATAATATCCCTAACCACCAATTGTTAGACTGGTCCTTCACTGACTTCCATTCAACAGATTCGATCCTAAATCTAACCATAACCATCTTGGTTGCATGAAAATTACAAATTAGTTCTCATCAATGTAAGTTAATATTAGGATTTGCTGGTCAAGCTAGATTTAAGTGTAGCGGTCCTTGATTCCAACAATAGTCTCGTTGTCCATTCCATATGCAATAATTTTTGTTGACTTGGGTACTTCGACAATAGAATAATAATGTATGGGAACTTTATTAGATGAGAGTCCACATTACACAACATATTGTATGGTGTAACGATTATTGCACATGCATGGTTTTGGCCGTTAACCTACCATACTGCCAGCAGTTATGTTAGAAAAGCAATCGCGATTGACTGAATTTAATGACAACCTTTAACTTGTATTCCGCATAACATATTCAACAATTGGCTGTTTTCAATACCAAATCGCAGAACTAGGTTGACAAACTTCTCATCTTTCTTTAATTTGTCAAAGATTTCACCCCCCCCCCCCCCCCACCACCCCTTTTCGTTATAACCTAGGTTTCTCTGCTCAGGTTTGACTATATCATGGACTCTAATAAAATCCCATCCTAAAGCTGTTGGAGGAGGTAAATCATAAATCGTTCAGTCAGTCCCATCAAACCATCAGCCAACAATCTGGGCACAAATTAAAGAGCCTTTACCATACTGGAACCCTCAATCTGCGCTAGTAGGCTGGATTCAAACTCCACCTTGCTGCTGGAGCAAGGCTAATAGAATCTGTTGCAAACCATATGAGCTAGCTAGTCTCAATGTCGGTTTCCGTTTTCTCGTTCAACATGCAATGCTGTCACAACTCAATTGGTGGATCATCCTAAAATAAGGTGACAGTCTAATTATCTTAAAAGTTATAAGGTACAACATTTAATTGTTTAAAGAAGTTTTGGATCAAACTTTTCTTGAATAAAAGTTTGGTTCTTGTGAGTGTCACGCGGGTCGAATTTGAAGTATTAATTTGGTTTATCAAATTGAATAATAGATACAATAATTATTGCGTGTAATTAGAAGTTGCATATCATGCACATGCACACAACACTTTAATGTCAAATCAAAGGCATAAAGAAAACATATCCTTATCCATAGGGGATTTGGCCCAATAGTCCAATTGTGCAACGCACAACCTATATACTTTGAATTGACACTCAAAACATGAACATTACCTCAATTCCAGGCCAATCTGCATCTTTCTGTGGCCCAACTCAGGTAATTTAAAGTGTTTTGGGTCAATTTTTGCAATATCCGTATAGATTCTTCTTGAATTGATGATCAGATTTATTATCTCATTAACTAATAAGCTAATTTATCTCCTTGTGCTCCTTTACCAATTAGGGTCACACGGTAGGGTTTACGTACTAGACAGAGTTAGATAATGGCTGCAGGTTTTTTTTCGTCAAAAAAAGAAAGAAAATTTACTGTTCTTGAATGTAACCCAAATTATGAAAACTAATGATAAAAACAAAATTTGAATAATTGATTTTTTTGGCCATGGAATCTCGTCTTTATCATCGTCGAACCACTATATAATTGCTTAAGGTTATGGAAAGGTACATATTAGTTGACTCTAGACTGTTTTGGTGTTTGAAGTAAGATTGAGAGCTGAATGTTTGCTACTTAGAATGTCGATAGGGTGTCCCTTTCATTCTCCGAATAGAAGAAAAGGAGAAATTGTAAGTAAAGATTTGACTGAAAAATAGTGATTAGACATGCATGCTTGCCAAACTCATACATTGCATTGTCACATAATTATTTCTCTTTTAGTCACTATTGACTATTCCTCCTATGTAATACGGAGTAACTTGCAAATCACACTAAGAAGATTTAGCGTGATGAGCTTGAATCACCCTCGCCTAATCTTTTGTCTCATTCTAGTGCGTATTTCGTTGTAATATATACTATTTTTTTGGGTGACGAGAGAAAACACACAGCCGCTACTTAATGTGTGTATGGAGTAAACCCCACCTTGTAACCCTAGTTAGCAGAAACACAAGGAGATAAACTTGTCAAGGCTGTCCAAAACGTGCATCCACTACCCAAAGGTTTGCATGGATTACATAAACCCCACCCACCATATAACCAACCTTGGTTATTCATAGTTTACCGACTCAAACTAAGAAGGTCAATAGGTCACCCCCACTGAGAGTTAAACTTGTAAACTTGTAGTTATCAAGCTAACAGCTCGACCAACTTGCTAACTGAGGTTGTCCCATAATATATAACGTACACTTTGTACTAATTAATAAGTTGCAATTAGTGATTGATTTTTTTGGAGAGTACAGAACTCATGACTACACTTTCTTTCTCATGATTCAAACTGGATGGTGTACTGTGTGATGTTTTTGATAAATCTAACACTGGTTTAGCTTCATCTTTCTCTTTCCCCTTTACTTCATAAAAGGCGTTCATATCAATAAAGAAGGCATGAGAGATGGAAGTGGAATAATGCCATTGCGTCAACTTTATTAATTTTCTTCTTTTTGCAGGGTATCCAAGATGATAAATTTCAGGCACTACATACGACAAAAAAAAAAACACTGTTATAAGGTTACACCACACACATTATTATTATTTGCAACTTATAATAAAAAGGGCAATTAAAATTAATATTTAAAATAAGCCAACATTTGTCATGGTGCAACTATATATTCTGTCCAACTAGGTACAAGTTGGTGGATATGATTAATGGATTGATGAAAGATGATAGTATCCTATTTCAACAAAAATTTAAACTTATAATTGGAATAAGTTGACGTTTATCATGGTACATAGATCTTATATATCTGATTCGTACAGAAATATACTCCGTTTTAACTAAAAATTTAAGCCGATATCGAGAATAAGTGAGGGTGGGAGGGGGGAGGGACAGGCTGACAAACCAAAGACAACCATAAATAAGAAAAAGGATGAGCTGTAAGGCCTGTTTGGGTGGGGGAGGGAGATGATGAGAAATTTAATGAGTTGAAAATGAGAGATGAGGGGATAAATGGGAGAGGGAAGCCCCACATGCATGTTTGTCCACCGGAACAGAATAAAGCACCACGAGACCGGTCGGACCACCCGGTCCACTCCCTCATTTTTCCGACAGCCCCATCCCTAGACCGCTCTTTCTCCGACATCCTCCACTTAACGTTAACACAACGTAATCCCCCTTTTATCCCATGTCCTCCGTCGATCTCCCCGCTCATACTTTTAGTCTAGACAGAACACATCCTTCAATTAACCGCCCATTCTTTTAATTCAGTCCAGACAGAATGTATCTTTCAATCCCGGGTTTACATAGATAAGATGAATGATCTCTGGTCTATACCATGTTCGTGGAAATTAAGGATGATACACTACTAGAAATTATGAAATTTCCGACCACCAAGTGATCTTAAATCAAGTCGAAAGTCTGGTTTCGACCATGGTATCCGGAAAAACCTTTGTTGCTATTTCTGATTTAAGATTATTTTCAGATGGTTGGAAATTCCATAATTTCCAGCACTGACAGAAGAAGTTAGCGAGAAACATGGGATTACCCGTGAAGTGTTGCGAAACAGTAAGAACATTAAATGGAAGTGCGTGGGAGACAACTAACGATTCAGACAGTGTTTGCTCATATTAATGGTTTTCATGGGTTTCATCTCCCAAAATTGTTTCACCAAAAAATGCAGGTTGATGAACAGTAGAACTAACCTCTGCATGTCAAACACGTACAAATTACAATACTAAATCAAGATATATGGATGTTCATATATATAACACATGCATATATATATACACAGAGAAAGATAGAAATGAAATCTTGATTTGTGTTGATGGTGAAACTCATGAGTACAACGTTAAATCAAGGAATGATGGGAAAAAGAACAATAATTTAATGATGGGTGGCGGGGGAGTGATGAGACTGGAATATCTAAATAGAAGAATGAAAGAAAGGGATGGGGGTGATGGGAGTGAGACAATAGTAGTGAGTTAATTAAGGTGGTCGGTGTAATAACAACCCTAATCTAGTCCTAACCTTAATTCTCAACCGATTTTACATGCGGTTAAAGAATATAATGTCTCATCGTACATTGTCTTAGCCTAGCCGCCATAGCTAGGAGTACCTGGAGAAGAAGGGGGGATTAGGGTTTTTTACCGAGGGTGTGCTTGTTGTTGTGCATCCAGACTTTGAAGACTTGGCGTCGAACGTTAGTGGTGGCGCAGAATTCTTGGACGGCTTCCTCGTCGTGTTTCTGGATGCGCCATTCTAGCCGCTCGGCGAAGGCGAGCATTTTGTCTTTTTGTTCTTGGGAGAATTTGGTTCGGAATCGCTTCTTGGAGCCGCCGCTGCCGCCTTCTCCGCCGCCGCCGCCGCTGCTGCTGGGGTTGGATACGTCGTCGTCGCGGGAGGTGGACGGGAGGGCCAGCGGGCGGTGAGGGGCGACGTGGAGGTAGCCGGAGGGGCGGAAGGAAGGGTAGTGAGTGAGGTGTGGGTGGTGGTGGAAGTGGCCCAAGCCGTCACCTTCCTCCTCCTTGCGGTGGAAGTTCCGGTGGCACCCGCAGGCGGCGCATTTTAGAGCGTCTAGGGTTCCATCCTCCCCCGCCGGCATAAACTCGCCGCACCCGTCCACTGCGTGCCCGCCTATCCCCACCGCATGGTTCTTCAAGCACTCTCTATACCTATACCTAGTCGTCCCACCACCACCACCACCGCCACCGCCGCCGCCGCCGCCACCGCCACCTACGCCGTTTTTTCTCCCGCCCACCACTTCCTCTCCTCCGCCCATCCCGGAGCTCCCCAGCGGCGGATAATTCCCTTCCGCCTCCATTTCATGCATCCCAATTTCCTCTTCTTGCTCCTCATCAAAATCCATCTCTCACATATAAATCTTGAAAAATACAGTCTTCAAATTAAATTATACAAATTACCCCTTCAAGACAAACAGATCCACTCTGAAAATATATATATATAAGTTTAATTTACAGCTAAGGAAGAAGTAAGGGAGGTGGAAATGGCCTGAGGTTAAAGAAGATGATCGGAGGAGAAGATAAGAAGAAGGGGAAGGGTGTGGACAACAATTACCCACATCCAAATTAATATAAATAAAAACAAAAGTTGAAGGGTGTATATTTGGTTAATTCACTAATTACTACAGTGCAGTAATTACTTCTTTGAGTTGTATCTATAACTATATATATACCTTGTTTCCATTTATGAACTCATTCACACAAAGCCATCACTTACTCTTTAGAAATTTTACTAATTTTCTTCACCCAAAAGTTGAATCATCAATCCCTACCCAATAGAGTATTTGGGATGATGTAAAATAAGAGAGAAAAAAAAAAAAAAAACTCACGGTGACTGAATGACTCATATCAGAGGCCAAATGTCGGTGCACACAAGAAGTTCAAACTTTGGTCTTTTATCCTAAATACTGCATATTTAACCATTGAGCTAAATTCGTGCGGGTAAATTTTATTATTTTTTGTTAGTCTTCACTCTTCACTACTAGTTATATCTTTTGTGATAATAATAAGCACTTGATTCTTCTATCAAGTTTTGAATACACTTTAACTTATCAATAGTATATCTATGGGGCTCAAACTCATGGTTGCAGTAGACGCTAGTTAAGCAGTAGAGTAGCCTTATGCGGCTAACTAAAAAAAAAAAAAAATAGTGCACGTGTGTGGTGTATATATGTAATGGACAAGTTAACTCGGCCGAGTTAGGCGCTAAGCGGTTGCCTAGGCAATCGAGTCGGCCAAGTTAGGCGCCTAGGCGGAAAATTACCACGATTTAAAGGCATCTAGACTGATTTTTGCAACCGTGCTCAAACCTGAGACCTTCTTTATGAAAAACAATAATAATGTCATCAAACCACAAGTATTTGGCTTTACTTGAAATTATGATTTATTTTACTTTAATTTTCAAGACTAAGGTAAATTAATAATTAGGGCTAACGATAACATCATTTATTTTGATGATATAAGTTAAACAAGCCACACTAATGATGAGATGATGAGATGATGAGTTTAAACACGTAATTAATAATTAAAGTTTAATTAATAAGTTAGTGTAGGTTATAACCTATAGGCTTGGCTAGGTACAAAATCCCTTCTTGGAGTATGGTAGCAAATAATGGGGGTGGAAAACTAGGGTTCCCTGTCAATTCAGTATAGTGACATGTTGTACAACCAGGAAAAAAGCAGGATGTTTTATGAATGGTTTTTTCACTTTTTCCTAGTCCATGCATGTTTTTTTTTTTTTTTTTTTCGTTTGGATAAATGTGTAACAAATTAAATTTAAATCCCTTATTTATTTAAAAATATTACTTTATTTAATTAATTACATGCTCGGATGAAATGGTACAGCGACGGGGTAAATGGAGCATTATTTTAGTACCAGAAAATTATATGAGTTTGATTATTGTCAATACCTTTTGGTCAAGCGCGTCAGAACTTTCTTTTTTGATTGTAGGTTATTACACATATAATAATAAAAATATGCAATTACTATCCAAAAATGCGTAGTGAAAAAAATTCCAAACATCAATATCGGACTTGCGATTTTCATTCGTCTGTTTGGAGTACTGTATAATATGACTTCCATATAGTACATTCTGCCTAAATCCCATCATTAATTTCCCTTAATACAAAGGGCCCATCAGTAGAAACTAAGAATTGATGTCAATTTATTCACTAACAACCAAACACGGACTTAAATTAAAAACTACATTAAAGATTACATACCTAAGAGTCTAAGACCATTCCTATTTTTTAAAGAATTTTATGTTGATGTCGGCAGGGGAAATGTTGACAAATGCCCTTGTAAATTAGTTTATTATTTTGTGATGCTCGGAATTGAATACGATTAACAGATTTTTACTTATCTAGATATTTAGTTTAGCCTCAGAATAGTAGTTTAGTGAAAAAATAATTGCACTTGAAACTCGATCTCTTCCAACAGCAAGTTAGGTCGGGCTTCTATGCACAAACAATTTGGAGATAAGCTCCAACAATTTGGTCTGGGATTGGGCTCCTGTGCCCAGAAAGGTATAATTTAGATGCATTTAAATGTATAGTAATTTGAGACTTGGGATTAATGATTTTTCAATGGGATATATTAAAAAAGACTAGAAATAAGTGGCTATGTTACACCAAGCATATATAATTGGTTTTGTTTTGGTCAATGATGGTATATATTTACATATAGACTTGTTGAGATTGGGAAGATATAGAAAATCTTTAATTTTAATAATGCAACCCTAATAAATGTCCTTATATAGGCATTTGGATGCCATTATGTGTAGGCATGCCCTAAGAAAATTATACTCCATGTACTTTCCCTTCATGATGATGCTTCAAACTAAGTCTTTGGACAATATTATTATATAATAAGCTTTATAAGGACTCCATAAGGAATTTTTAAAGGTTGAATTCCAATTTCAAATTGTGCTACATACTTAGATTGTACGAATCAAAATCCACTTTAATTTGCAATTTCTAATACTACTAAAACTTATTTCACTCTAACCTTAGCCGGAGAAAGGAGCACAAGGAGGTAAACTAGGACCAACCTAGGTTGTCCATAGTTGGTTGGCTAGCCAAGTCAAAAAATAAAAGCTAATAGGCTACTCGTACTATGAGTCAAACTTTGAACCTTGTAGTTACTAAACCAACAGTCTAACTAACTTGGTTAGGGTTTTCTCCTCTGACCTTGGTTTTCTTTCGGTACAAGATTGTTAGGTTTATATTCTCGACTTTATGCTCATATATAGTTTTCAGTATATATATATATATATATATATATATATATATATATATATATATATATATATATATATATATATATATATATATATATATTGGTTCCTGTGAGATCAAGTCTTCCCGTGCGGTCAGTGCGGCATACACAATTAGGTATGCATAAATGCATCATACAATGTTCAAAAATATACCAGAATGAAATGCCAAAAAATACACCACACAAAAAAAAAATACAACACACATAATGGTGTATTCTCGAACATTGTATGGTGCATTTATGCATACCTAATGGTGTATGCCGCACTGACTGCATGGGAAGGCCTGACCTCACAAGAATCTAACACTATATATATATATATATATATATATATATATATATATATATATATATATATATATATATAATAAAATAAAAAAAAGTGAAGTGCAGGAGAAGGCAGATGGACATGTGAGTGAGTCCAAATGAAGCTAATGGGGGTGGGGGGGTGAGAGGACGTCTGACGCGACGGGGTGACAGGCAGGCAGGCCAGTGCGCTGTACGTCGTCGTCTGATATGTGTTCGACCTTCTTCTCCTTCTTCATGCATGTCAGCTGCCAGGGAACATTAACGCAACCATTTCCGATCCTATCTTTTCTACGTACTTCAATTCTCTCCTACATTTTCATACATTAACTACCACTGTACTCCTACATTTTCTTTCTTTTTATTTTTATAGTATATTATATTTGTATACACAAATATACACACACCCGCCACAGACAATCAGGAGATGGAGCTCCCAGAGTTAGACTGAAGAAGTTGGATTGCAATTATGTCTTCAACCTTAGGAGTGGGCTTATGCATGCCATCTCGGATTAAATACATAATTTTAATTTATAGAGAAAATGGTAAAATAAGTTCATAAACTTTACCCTAAAAGTCAATTAGGTCTCTAAATTTTTAAATAGTAAGTTCCTAAACCCTCAAATATGTCAAATTGGATCAATGAAGCCCAAAAACCAGTAAATGACCTGTTATTACAGGTCATTTCAATTCCAGCGACGGATTTCGACGACAAGAGGGCCTTCTCAAGGGAAGGCGATCAGATCTGGTCGACTTCCCCTGAAGAAGGCGACCAGAGTGCTTTCTCAAGGGAAGGCGACCAGTTGGTCGCCTTCCGCTGGAAAAGGCGACCAACTGGTCACCTTCACCAATAGAAGGTGACCAGCGACAACTTTGCCGTCATCGGTCGCAGAAATTGAACCAATTTTTGGACTTCACTGACCTAATTTGACATGTTTGACGGTTTAATTGCACTTTTTAAAAGTTTTGGGACCTAATTGACTTTTGGGGTAAAGTTTAAGGACCTATTTGACATTTTTTTTCTAATTTTTATAATGCGAAAGATTATTATATAGCATAATTTAAAAAAAAAATGCATTGAACATAGTAGGTATTTTGTTTGTTTGTTTGTTTTTTTTTTTTAATATTTAGCTTTTAGCAAATGCAATTATTATTTTTATATAATTTCTTCTATTATAATTGGATGTTAATAACGATTTTATAATAATTGAAATATAAATATTTTGTTGTCAATAAGCCAATGATATGTATATTCCACATCAAATAAGATACAAGAAAATTAAACTCATTTACTGAAAAAAAATTATAGAAAAAAATTAAAACAAATATAAGTTAAATTTGTAAATTAAAAAAAAAAAAAGCATATGAAAATTGATACACATTATTCATTAATTAAAAATTAGTATTAAATTAAACTATGTTTATAGAAATTACATATACAACATATATGCATCATGCATGTGATTGTATTTTACTGGCATAATGAAGGATAAAACGGACTAAAGGAAAAAAAATTTGAGGATAGGCTTGGTAAAAAAAAAAAAAAAAAAAGGTTATAAATGTACACACAAATAACACCAAATAAAAGCTTTTAATGCCACTTATATCACTAGTAGGTTTTTAATTATAGTTAAATACTAATGTTAAACTAAAAGTCAACAAAATGAAGGATAAAATATTGAAAAAAAATGCAAAAGAACAACACAAATAACACAAAGAACAAATACTTGATATTACCAACACAATTGTCACTCCGGCCAATTAAAGACTTAACATCATAAACTCTTATTAATTTTTTTATATTATTTTAAAGAAAAGATAAAGATATATATACACACACAAACACCCAAATAAAATAGATAACCATTATTATTATTATTATTATTATTATTATTATTATTATTATTTGGGGATTAAAATTTTGAAAAAATGTTGAGGGGGGTGGGGGGAAGGAAACAAAGATATTGACAAGACGGGAGAAAAGGTGCAGAGTCTGAATTCCATTAACGTGCTCTTTTGGCAGCCTTTTTGTGCTAAATTATCATATTCTCTGTTTGATTGCCAAAGATTTGCATTCTTATTACCATAGATTCCTCTCATTACTACTATCATATCTTCCCTGCCCACACCACTGGACCATCTTCATTTCTGCCTCCACCTTAGCTAATACTCAAATTCTTTACTCATTCTACACATATCAATATTCTTTAGCCATATGGTCGAGCGGCATAGTTGTGACTTCTCAAATGAGAGGTCTCAGGTTTAAATTCAGTGTGGGGGCATTGACTCTTTGTGTTTCAGTGGGTTGAGAAAATATGTATAAACAGATAAATACATAATCTAGACGATATAACGATTGATTGTTTCATTACTCATCAAATTAATTTGATCCTTAGACCTAACAACCAACACTAATTCCTAGCATCCCAGAGCCCAAAAATCCCAAATTTCAAACTTTTCTCTAAAGAAGTTCAAACTAGGCCGAAAGAATTCATGTGTGCCAATTCTAGTCCAGTACACTTCTTCCTACGTGCATTGATGTTCATTCCTACAATTGGGCCAAAACTTTGTTTGGCAATATTTGGCCCAGGTATAACAAGCTGTACCTTAATTAAGCCCAATATCAACATTCATATTGACAGTGATAGAGATAAATTTGAAATTGTAATACTTTCAAGTTTGTACTATACTCAGATTAATCTCCGTTCTATGAAATAGATCAGATTAATCTCCGTTCTATGATAAGGGTAAGGGTCCAGATCGAATCAGATGCTCTCCTCGTCATCCCGGGACTGAACAATATTCGTAAATTAACTAATAATTTCCATTGTATTAACTTTATGTTTGATAAGTGAACAGCAAATAATGCATTTTTCAAGGGAAGTCATGTTCATTTCTGCTATAATATCTTCAGAGGCTGCTAGTTAAGTAATGATTTGTGTTTTCTTAAAAAAATAAAAATTAAAAAATCCCTCGTTCACATCATGCAAACCCAATTAAGGGACAAAGTGCTGCTCATATTGATTTTTTCATACAAGAAGGGATTTTGAACTCCTAACCAATCTTAAGTAAAAGAAAATTATTTACAGTAGCTCAATTCACAATAAAGAACCATTCATATATTGCAATGCCAGATGGTCTGAAACCACATATACACTACAACAATCCTTTAACTTGTAAATAAAATAAATTATATATGGAAATGCCCCAAGCTCAAATGCAGTATAACAATACTAATAGCACACACAAGTATATACCACACACACATCTGCTGACAGGAAATGCAGTGGGTGGGTGACCTGTCTATGAATGTCCCATCAAAACGCCTTGCAAACTCTTGACAGCACTATCATAGTTTACGAATCCCATGAACCAAAACTCGTGATTGTCGACAGAGATAATTTGGATGAACTTCTCAGCTGGATTTACTTTGCTCGCTGATGGATTAACTGCTTTCAGCTGATGGATTGGAAGGACCACCTAACGAATAAGAATGCAATTGTTATATGTGATTGAACTATAGTAATCGACTGCTATATCAAGAACTTCTGCACATCGAGGGCTAGATAAATGGCGAGACAGATGATATTTACACAAACCTTGTAATAACTCCATTGTGTTTGCTCACCAACTTTATAAGACAGAGGAGCATCGCTACAGAAGGCTATTTTTGCAGAAGACAAGTAAAGAAGTCCCATAACGGGGCCAGCAGAAGTGGATAAGTAGCAGGCGTAGGCCGTCAACAGTTTCTCCTCAGGAGCAGTCTCAAATGTTTGCCGGAAGACTTTCTCATAGCCACCTTCTGTCAAAATCTTTGTTCCCTGAGCAAGTCTCCCAACTGCAGCATCAGCCATGCTTGGACCAGTTTTCACTGATCAACGCAAAGTCAGTATCTTTTTTATCATTTCTTGAAGAATTATAGAGTAATCACAAATGATTTGTAGACTAGGCAAGGCAAAGTATCCGTCTTTAAACGCAGAATCACATGAAAATGCAAAGGCACTATAAAATAAACAGCTTCTTCAACTATCAATCAGCAAATTACAAATATGCAATATGAAACTGAAGATTAATTCATGGAAACAGCGAATATTTTGATTTGTAACTGTTAAGACTTACAATGCTGCCACATATTCCCAGCAAGATCCTGGCCCTTCTTTGTTGCCTCAACTGCCTTCTTTCCCCATGATCCTAACACATTCTTCATTGTATCCATTGTATCTGGCAAATAACAAAGCAATAATGCATAAAAATTAGTTTTCCAATTAAACCACATCAATTAACAGGTATTTACGATAGATAAAAGAAATTCAAATAAATTGATATTAATATCAAATCATCCTGTGTCAATTCCTATTCAAATCGATATAATGAATAGAGGAAACAAAGATTTAGGGTTCATTAATAAGGGGAAATGAGCTCACTTTTAACGGAGGAACCGGGTCCGGATGCGGGAGCAGGGGAGACGTAAGGGTTGGACTCGGGTGGCATGGTGGTAGCGGCGTAGCCGGCGACAGGGGCGGGGCCTCCGGCAGCCGGCGGTGACCTAGACTGCTGCAGGGGAGGATCTGAAGCGAGGGAGACCGGAACGGTGTCGTTCGGGTCGAGCTTGGGGTAGGGAGCGTAGTCAGATGATTGAGATTGGGGTTCCGGTTTTGGGGGTTGGGTTTGGGAATGATCGGCCGCCGGCGCCGGAATCGGGTCAGAGCTCATAACGTATGGCGAAAACTTTGACGACTTTTGGCCTATAGATTTCGTGGCAGGACGGAGAATTCGGGATTCCAGAAGGTTCTCTCTCTCTCTCTCTCTCTCTGAAGATGCCAGCGAGGATGAAAACAAGGCGGAAACAAGAAGCCGAGTATATATATGTACATAAATGTAAATTTATTGAATTAGCCGTTACCTTGTCGTTTAAGGAGGTTGAAATGCCCGTTTCGGAATTACTTTTAATTAAAACACGATTCTCGTCAATTAGTCATGATTGTTAATCTAATTACAGCTGTCCATGCGAGTTGTAATTTTATTTTATTTTTTTAGCAAAAAATAAAAATTACAGCTCAGTTAACTACAGTGATAAAATTAAGAATAATAACTTAAAATCGAGTTTCATTAACAACATTGTGAAAGAAACTTCTCAAAGTGAATGATTCTTGAAGTAAAGGTCTAATTTCTATATAGAGTTACCATGATTTTCATCTTTTCAAATGATATAAGATTAATTATATGCAATTATTAAATTACGACTCTTAGTCCAACTCACTTCCTACTATTATTCTAATTAAGGGTGTGTTTGGAAACCCGGAAAATGACTTCTGGAAGTCATTTTCCGGGGTTTTGGTGTTTGGTTACATTGGAAAATGACTGGTCAAAGGAAAATGGGGTGGAAGTCAATGGAAAAGGAAGGCAATTTTATGGAAAATGACTTCCCCTTTTTTTTGGGGGAAGTCATTTTCCAACTTTTACACCAACATCATCAACACCATACCACCACCACCACCACTACCAACATACCACCGTCGCCGCCATCTCCACCATACCACCGCCACCACCACCACCATACCACCGTTGTCACACCACCACCATCACACCACCGCCGCCGCCACCACTACCACCATACCACCGCAACCACTGTCGCCACCACTACCGTCGCCGCCACTACCACCATACCACCGCAACCACCGTCGCCACCACTACCGTCGCCGCCACTACCACCATACCACCGCAACCACCGTCGCCGCCATCACCACCATACCACCGCCCCACCACCACCATATCATCGCACCCACCGCCGCCGCCACCACCACCATACCACCGCAACCACCGTCGCCGCCACCACTACCGTCATACCACCGCCGCCGCCACCACCACCATACCACCGCCGCCACCACCACACCACCGCCACCGCCACCACCGCCACCACCACTACCATACCACCGCAACCGTCGCCGCCACCACTACCGTCATACCACCGCCGCCGCCACCACCACCATACCACCGCCACCACTACCACACCACCGTCGCCTCTGCCACCACCACCATACCACCGCCACCACCACCACACCACCGCCGCCACCGCCACCACCACCACCACACCACCGCAACCACCACCACCACTACCACCACCATACCACCGCAACCACCGTCGCCGCCACCACTACCACCATACCACCGCCGCCGCCGCCACCACCATACCACCGTCGCCGCCACCACCACCACCACCACACCATCGTCATACTACCACCACCATCACACCACCACCAATTATTATTATTATTATTATTATTATTATTATTATTATTATTATTATTATTATTATTATTATTATTATATAACGAATAACACCACTACCACTACACCACCACCACCACCATAATATTTTTGATATATTATTAGTTTTTTTTTTTTTGTTGAAAAACTTAGCTATTTTTTATTATATTTAAAATTAATATTATATTATTATATATTATTATACATGTTGTAATATTCTAAATAAAATAATTAAAATGTTTAATTATACAATTCTACTCATTTTCTAGAAAATGAACCAAACACACAAAAACAGTTTTCCAGAATGCAACCAAACACCGGAAAGGAAAATGTTTTCCGGAAAATGACTCATTTTCCAGAAGTCATTTTCCTGGTTTCCAAACGGACCCTAAATTGAATTCGAATTAGCTCAACAGTAAAATACCCAATATGATATGAAAAGATTTGTTTTTTTAAATAAATATAGGCCCTGTTTGGTAAAATGGCTGTTAGCTGATAGCTGATTGTGTTAATTAGAGAGTATAAATAGTTTATAACATTAGCTGATTGTAGAAAAGTGTTTGGTAAATTAGCTGTTAGCTGATAGTTGTTTTGTATAATTTCTTTTCTCAAAAAGCTAATTGAAAAAGTTGCTAGGAGTAGTTTTTTTAATTTTAGCCTTTTGAAATTGCAAAAAGCTAATTAACCAAACATTTATATTGATATTTTAACTAAATCAAACAATTAATAGTGGTCAAATAAGCCAAAATTGGCCTATAGGCCAATTTTTTTACCAAACAGGGCCATTATTATTTTTAATTATAAAAGGAAACGTATATGAGGCTGTGGATTCTTTTCTTCATTTATTCTTCGACCGTCCAAACCGTGTCTACGCGTATGGTGGATAATATTGCATATATAAAAATTAATAAAATCTTTAAAAAGAAAAAACAAAACAAAAACATTTTTGGCAAGAAAACATTACTTAAAATATTGCAATTTAATTTGTTGATTTTTTGTTTAAAATTTATTCGTATAACTTTGTGATAATTGAACCATAGATTTTTGGACTCTAATACCGACAATAATTGTAAGATTAAAATTTTAGTGTTTTATTTTGTTAGAGGGAATTAATATTTTGATTTTTCAATTATTTCTTATCTGTCTATGCAGTTTATAGTTTTTAATTTCAGTGGATTTGATTCTCAAATTATTTATAATTTCGTCAATTAAATCTTTTCAGATACTAGATCGACAAAAATTTAAAAATATGAAAATGATCATTTTGATCCCTAAAAGGGTTTAATTAATTAAATTTTATATAATTCGCGAATTAAATTGGTTAAAATTAAAAATTAAAGATTATATTGATGGATCTAAATGTTGATTAACTCATTTTGTTGTTATTATTATTATTATTACTATTATTATATATATATATATATATATATATATATATATTCGGACGTGTGTGTATATCTATGACGTGTTTGTTAATTTATGTGTTTCTTCATAGTACTACGCATATCAGATTTTAATATAAAATTAATGTCGGTCGCCATATAATGAGAATACTTGGAGGAATAACATTTGCGGTTTATAGGCAAAATGAGTCGACTAAGGAATAGATGGACTAAAATGATTTAATAATTATAAGTGAAATAATTTTGAGATGGTAAATATTATATGTACTTTCATTCTCTACTTCTAACTTTTATATTTGCAGGGATTCATAAGAAGAAAATAGCATAACAATACTCGTTACATCAGGAAGTAAATTTGAGAGAGTAAGATTTGGGAGTACATGTAGTAAAACTCTGTCGAGAAAGTTTCACTTTTAATTTTATGATTATTGCGAAATTGTTATTATTGAATATATAATTATGAAAGATTGGTGATTGCTGTAATTTGGGGCAAACAAATAATACCCGGAGTATTCGGGTTGTCGAACCACAGAGAGGTGGTGTACTAATCACTAGCTACTAGGTTACTCATATGAAACTAGTCCGAACAAAACTTGAAGGTTGATTGATTGCATAAAATAACGAGCAGAATAAAATAAGTAGCAAGGTTTTGTAGACAATAGAGCAAAATAGGATTCTTGGGATCACAATGTTTAATCACCTAGTGCCAATTAACGTTTGTAATATTTGGTTTGGAATTAAGATTTGTGTGGGAATGCAAAGTGGAATCGAATTACTCCCGTAATCTCCATTCCTAGTGAATTTCCACTCCCATGGCTTAAACATCCAATAAGATCAAAGATCAGCATTCAATTATTCCTAATTACTACCATCTCCCGATGAGCAATAATCTAGAATAAACTTCCCCTAATTAGTTCCCCTTTCCCAAGGACCAACCATTAGGTGCAATCGTGTGTGCCCTAATTTATGCCCCAACTCCCATTGGTGACACAAACATGACTGTGAAGCTAGTAATTCAGGCCTTTAACCACCAACAACAACAGATTAAAACAAGATTGCAACACAAATCATAAAACCAAACATAAATATATTAAGAAATTAACGAACTAGGCACATAGGTTCATAAACAAATTCACCCAAAAATCCTTAAGGAATTTAGCCGAGCATGGCTAAATTATACATAGCATATGAATAAAGGATTACAAATCATCAGAAGAGTACAAGAATTAACCAAGCGATTTTCCCAAATCTCCCTGGCTTCCTCCTTGCTTCCAAAGACGACTTGAGCCTCTTGATTTCTCTCTTTCTTGTCTACAAAGAACTCTAAAAATCTCTTCGGTGTCTTCTTAGGGTTGAGGAAGGAGGGATTTTATAGTGGGTACAAAGTTGAGATGAAATAGGAATCTTGTACCAAATTGGACTCAAATTCTAATTCCTATATTTAAATAAAGAAATTGCCGTCTTTAATGATATTTAGAATTTGGAAGATTCCTTGAATTGCTAACTTTTAATATGGAGATATGAGCCTTGAAATTCGTGCAATTGATATTAGGAAAAGAAATCTCGCGCTTGTATTGAATTTTGCCCAGCTGCGCCACTTTAGGCGTCTGTTTTTATCCCAGAAATAGACGCCTATTCTCTCGACGCGTCGAGTATTTTCTCCACGCGTCGAGACTTCCTGTGCGCAAATTAGTTAGCTACTGGAAAATTTCGACGCGTCGAGTCCACTGGGCCCCGAACTCATCCAAAATTGCTCCAAACTCATCCTTGAACTTCCCTTGCTCATAGAATTGACCTACAATGGTTCAAAAACACTAACAAACACCGTAAAACATTCAAAACAAGTACGAACCATAATTAAATGATAATAGCAAGGAAAACCTGTATTAAATAAGCAAAATTAAAGAACTTAATTACTATGATGATTCAAAATAACCATAAAAACAAGCACAGATGTGATAACATCAATTGGATACGGTTAGATAGTGTTTTATGTCTTTCTTAACAAGTGTCAAGTGTTAAGTTCTCTAAATTTGACAATTAAGTTACAAGTGCCAAGTCCTTTACATTTATTTTCATAATTAATACCTGTTTTTGTCCCTCAACTATTAGTATTTCACCACTTTGGTTATCGCCTTCTAAACTTACTCAATTTCATCATCAACTATGCAATTTTTATCTAAAATAGTCATTTGTCAATAGTTAAGAGTCAAGATAGTATCTATTGTATACTTTCTCAACTATTTCACCACTTTAGTCTTGACTTTTAATTTGATCACATTTACTCTAATGTTAATGCAGTGGTCCTTTGCTTGCAAGTTGCTGGTATAAGCCAATATCATAATATCATTTATGGCCAAGTTTTTTGTTACATTATGGTATGCCCATTATATGACCAGACACAACAAAATACAAATGTTCCAAAATGGAATACTAACACACAATCTGTTCTTCAATAATCTGCTCTTCTGCCATGTTGATCTCCTTCTGAATCATCTCCACAAAAGAAAGCATATCTTCCAACCCTTTCTCATCTGTCATCGAAAGTGCATTAATTGAAAAATGTGTTCCATATCGATTAAAAGTTTAAATAATCAGATCATCACATACCAAACCGCGGGATTGTGTGGCCCTTAGGATGATGAATCACTAAGGGATCAAGACATGATTCTATGAGTTGCAGCCCAGGCTCCCTGAGGAAATCTTCCTTCCCTATGAAATGAACAGAAGGGCATGAAAGTGGTGAAGCATATGCCATTTCTGCAATTTCTTTGTTCCTCAGTTTTGCTCCTCCAATTATGATGAGATATTTGATCTTGGGAACCTTGTTCAGAGCCACACCCTGCACCCAAAGAAGACCATTGCCATGATCACCAGTGGTTTACAACAACCAATCAACTTTGCTACACTACACAGTCAAAAAACTATCGAGTTTTGACCACCGAAAAGCGCTCATAAACTTGGAGTTCTCATTGGTAAATAGCTGTATAGTTGTTAGTTGATTGGGTCAGTATTGGCTGATTGTAAAAAGATGTTTGGTAATTAGCTGTTAGCTAATAGCTCATTACATACAAAATGACTTTCTCAAAAAACTTATCGAAAAAGCTGCATGTAGTTAACCAAACACACATATTGGTTGTTTAAACAAGTCAAACGACTAATAGTGATCAAACAAGTTAAAATTAGCTAATAATTAACTATTTTACCAAACAAGTCATAGTCTTTCAGATCACTAGTAGTCAAAAACTGATGAGAAATTCTAACTACCCAAAATTAGTAAATTTTAGTGGCCTGAACATACCTTCTCTTGTAATCCAGGCAATGCTCCTGACAGGATTGCACCCTAAATTGTTAAACAAGAAAAATAAAACCCAAATCAGAATTTGATGAGAAGAAACATTTCCTGTTCAAAGTTCATATCTTTCACAGAATTTTTCAATTTCTTCCCTTCATCTTAGCAACATTATATTAACCAAAAACACCCATCAAGACTGCAACAAATCAACAATATTGCAGGAACAAGACTAACCTGGGAGAAACCAAGAAGACCATCAAAAGGTCCATGCTTTATCATGTAATCCTCTATGTATTCAAGACACTCATCAAAGTTCTGATACTCTGTGAAATCCTGAAACCCAAAATTGAAAAACAACCAAAACATATACTAAAGTGAAGTTTAGAAAAAAAAGGTGAAAACCCAACAAGAATAAAGTGAAAAGATCAGACCTTGTTGAACTGGAACCACTCATAATAAGGAGGATCAAACAATCCCTCGACCTCGGATTTTCCCTGGCAGGGAAACGGCGCATCTACAAACACAAGGTCCAGTTTCTCCACCACGGCCGGATTCCATTTCCCGACCACCTGCTTCTTCAGAATCTCGGCGCTGGTTCTGAATCCATGGAGGCAAAGAAACCTGGGTTTCCTCGGATTATGGCTTACCACGTTGTTTGCTAAGCTTCCCATATTTTCCCTATTAGTTTTCCTCCGTTTTTGGAGGTATCCCAGAAACTAATTTCTGTATTTATAAGGTTCCAAAGTCTACGCGGTGCTGGGGATGGCTGCAAGAATGTACGGCTGTTTGGTTGGGCCGCGCCGCCGTGGTTTCGTGGCTCGTGCTTAAAGATGGGATTTTTGACCTCAAAAATTAAAGCAGACCACGTTTTTAACATAGTTAATGTCACCTTAACTTACACGCACTGCCCCTGGGCAGTGGGCACCTCATTGCGTGTAACATGACGTTCGGACGTTATGCAAATTTGTGGGAGTAGAAATCTCGTGGGAGATGAAAAGAAGACATGTTCCCTACGAAAATCTATGACGTAGACCTCAAACTTGTAAGTTTTATATTGTATGTAACTATGTACGATGATGTTTTTACTTTATCTGATTAAAAAAAAAATATAATGGACTGAATCGTACAATGGTTGATTTCTTTGTGTTTGATTCATAGTTTGGTATCAAAGCAAACATATTGAAAGTTTAATAGTTGGAGTTTCTTTAAATCTAAATACTCTTTTTGTTAACTTTTTTTTTTTTTTTACAAGAAAAGGAATACTCAAACTACAAATAGCCTCTAAAGAAGCAACCAGATATCATTGAACCAAAGGTCCTTGGTGTTTATATGTTTATATAAATGCTATGATTGTAAAATATTTAGTAGAATAAATCATATACTCCGTATATATTAATGGAAAAAAGTAATATGAAACTAAAAAAGTACAACAGCCTGGCGTTTCGTTATCATGCACTGTTGTTACCTTACCCCACTGGCCACTAATTTCCTTACATGTATTACTTAATTTTGTGATGGACCTGAGAGACCAAAAAGACACCAAAGACATTAAAAGAAAGTGTTATTTTATTCTTCTTTTAAGCAACCAATTAATATTGTGTCGACTATAATCTAAATATCGGGGTGAAGTAGGGTGAACTATACTACGGAATATTAAATAATGTACATTCAATTGACAAATAATATACTATTAATATATTAAAAATATACATTCTATTCAAAAAAAATATATTATTTAAGTACTGAAAATACATTATTTTATATAATATATATTCAATACACGAATAATATATTTTTAATATATTTAAAAAATATTTTTTTACGGTCTACCCAATACTGTGATAGTCCACACAATAATTTGCCAAAATTCACTAAAGTTGGGTCAATCGATTAGCTCGATGACCCATTGCTACTTGGCCCATCAGTTGGAATTCCTTAGCCCAAATATTCTTTTCCATTCTTCACACAAACTTTAAAAAAAAAAAAATTGTATACATAATCACAATATTATTTCTTGGGTGTAAAAAGTGAAATATCTCGCCTCTACAATCCCGACTCTATAGTGATTATGTCAAGATATGAATAATTTAATATTGTGTTTTTTAATGTAAAATTTTTACTTAAACATTAATTGAGTTATTCGTAAGGCACTAAAGTAGTTCACTATGATGAATAATAAAGAATCTTGTATTGGGCAGCGGTCTATAAATGGTCAAATTTAACAATTTGTAGCTAAGAAAATTGTTAAGTGGATGTTTAAAAGGTTAACTCCAGTACCGTGTATCTTTAAAGTGTGATGGTATATAAGAAAATAAAGTTACACTTTTGCTACAAGTTATAACTTTTTTAACATTTGATCTAGCGATGGGTCCCAACAAGACTAAAAATTATACAGTTATATACTATAAATTTTAAGTGTAGTGATAAGCACTTGATTATAACTGGGCCAAAAATGCAAGTTGAGCAAAATATGAATGGCAAAAGTAGAAATAACTGCAGAAATGGGAACGGATGAATAATATTTGTTGGGAATCAAATTGAAACGGAAAGCGAATATATAAAAGGAGTGCGCAAAACGCAGTGCCGCCGTAGCCGTCAACAACGTTCGTCGCAGAGCTTAAGGGAGGGAAGAACAGAATGGCTCAGTCTCTCCCAACCTTAAACCCTCCGAACGCCCTGAAAAACCCCAAACTCCTCACCCCGACAAACAATCAATCCAGGCTTTCGTTCTGTTCATCATCATCGCGCAAGGCTTTTCCAAGAATGAAGAATAGTTACCCCTCAATATCTGCAGCGTCAGCAATGCCGTCGAACCAGCAGCAGAACCAAAACTCGGCCGCGCTCGAGGCCTTAATCAGCGGTGAGCGCAAGGAGGACGCCATGGCGGCTATCAAGACCTCGCTTTCTAATTGTCTGTCGGAGACCCACCTCGATTTAACCGTCCCTGGCCTCAAATCCAAGACCCGCGGCAAGGTAATTCCAAACACTCGCTTGCAATTTATGTTTTTCTGGAAAAAAAAGTTGGGATTTTTCTCTGCGAGCTACATGGTTCGGGGGAAGAAATCAGTGAAACTGTGAAAGATTGTGTTTTTAACAGAAAGGGCATAAGCTATTTGATTGGTAGAGGCTTCCCTTTGTTTTGTTTTGATTACTTATCTTAAAATCGCATAAAAACTAAAATTATTCGGTTTAGGATAAATGTTGCTTTTCTTTTTTGTTGGATGAAGAGGGCAACCCAGAGTCACTTGTGACCCTAGCTGCAAAGAAAGGTAGGTTGCTCATGCTTGGAGTCGAACTTGTAACCTAACAATGTTGTTACTAAGTTGTAGTCAAACTTGTAACTTGTAGTTACTAAGTCATAGGTCTGAACTTGTAATCTTGTAGTTACTAAGTCAAATTAAGTCATGGGAGTGAACTTGAAACCTTGTAGTAACTAAGTCATGGGGTCGAACTTGTAATCTTGAGTTACTAAGTCATGGGGTGAAACTTGTAAATTTTTAGTTACTAAGTCATTGGAGTGAACTTGACCTTGTAGTTACTAAGTCATGGGGTCGAATTTGTAATCTTGTAGTTACTAAGTCATGAGAGTGAACTTGAAACCTTGTAGTTACTAAGTTAAAGGTCGAACTTGTAATCTTGTAGTTACTAAGTCATTGAGCTGAACTTGTAATCTTGTAGTTACTAAGTCATTGAGCTGAACTTGTAATCTTGTAGTTACTAAGTCATGGGAGTGAACTTGAAACCTTTATAGTTACTAAGTCATGGGGTCGAACTTGTAATTTTGTAGTTACTAAGTCATGGGAGTGAACGTTAAACCTTGTAGTTACTAAATCAACGGCATGACCAACTTGGCTAGGTTGCCCCCAAAATTTGCTTCTTTTCTGCTTCAAAATAGCTGTGCATTTGATGAGAAAAGAGGAGAAGTTGAAATTCTGTATGCAATGGTGACCAATCTTTGTCTGAAGGTTAGGGATATATATGATGGAGGGGATTATCTTGTTCTGGTGACAACAGACCGGCAAAGCGCATTTGATAGGGTTCTTGCTTCAATTCCCTTCAAGGGCCAGGTAATTTCCTTTGTTGTGCCCTTTTTAACTCGTGTTAGGGCAGAGGGATTGCCTGTCTCAATTTGATTAACCATTGGATTGTGTAGGTGCTGAACGAGACGAGTTTATGGTGGTTTGATAAAACCCAACACATTACTCCAAATGCAGTGGTAGCATCACCGGATAAGAATGTCACCATTGCCAAGAAGTGTTCGGTTTTCCCTGTTGAATTTGTTGGTAAGATATGCAGATAAGGTTTTTGGTCTTCTATGGGATTAAAGCTCGTTTTGAACTACTAATTGCAAATAAAATGTAACGAGGACGTTGAAACTTTTGCCTGTCACAGTTCGAGGGTATGTGACTGGAAGCACTGATACATCACTTTGGACTGTTTACAACAAAGGGGTTCGGAATTATTGTGGCAATGCCCTCCCAGATGGTAAAGGTTTTAACTTTAGAATTGATAACTACAATTCTTGATATCTGAAGTTGGATTTTGACGATTTTCTACTTTAATGTGTAACAGGCTTGGTGAAAAACCAAAAATTACATGCAAATATACTTACTCCAACTACTAAAGCTGCAGATCATGATGTCCCCGTAACCCCAGATGAGGTTTATACTTCTTCAGAGAAACCGAATCTTTTCCTGGAAAAATAAAGTTGAAGTTTTGCTTTAATTTTTAATATTTGGGTTTAAACGAATGATATGCATTGCAGATAGTTCAGCAAGGGCTAATGACTCAAGCTGATTATAATGACGCGAGTAGGAAAGCCTTGCGGTTATTTGAATTTGGGCAGGTGAGCTTTGTCTTCTTCATTTTTTTTTTTTACTATAATTCTGCAGGATTTTATGTTTTCCCTCCTTTCTTTCAGTAAATGTAATCTCTTGATTTCTCACTGCTTTCACTTATTTGTGATTGTAGCGTGTTGCACTGGAACACGGTCTAATATTGGTGGACACAAAGTACGAATTCGGGAAGGGGCCCGATGGAACTGTTCTTTTGATCGATGAGGTAAATTACATACAAATGATACCCTATATCTCTCCCCTTCACTTCATATTATGAACCACGCATAAACTTTAGTAATTTTCAGGTTCATACCCCAGACTCGAGCAGATACTGGATTGCTAATTCTTACGAAGATCGCTTCCAGAATGGTCTCGAGCCTGAAAACGTTGACAAGGTTTGTCAATGTCGGCCCCTTTAATTTTACGTTCACATGCCTGGCTATGATCATTATAATGTCTTCCTTTGTAATTCAAGTATTATTATCCGGTTAATCTTATATAGTAACTCGTATATATATGCAGGAATTTTTGAGATTGTGGTTTAAAAATCACTGCAATCCCTACGAGGATAAGGCAAGTGATATATCAGACAAACACTTTCCCTCGATTTTTATGATCCCAGTTTATCTAATGACGGTGTTACACTTTTAGGTTTTGCCCGATGCTCCAGAAGAACTCGTTGCTGAATTAGCTTGGCGGTATGCTCTCCATATCGCTCTCACCCTCTATAGTTTCTAATCGAACGAATCCCAAAATACTCTTTTTTTTTTTTTTTTTTTTTTTTTTTTTTTTTGCATCATATTGCACTTGTTTTCAATAGCTACTTCAACTTTTTTGCATCTGGCATTGTTGTGTTCCTCGTAAATACCAGGTAATAACGATGCTTTTGTTCTAATGACAGTTATATTTTCTTGTTCGAGACAATTACAAAGTCCAAATTCGAGCTGCCTTCCACAAAGGTAAAACCGATAAATCAACACGTTTCTTGTTGCTCAAAAATTATTGATGCCAGTCGCTATGCTTCGTGCAGGAGCCTATCCACGATCGAATTTCAAGAAACGTTTCGCAAGCTCTGTCATCTCTGCTGTAACTGGGGAATAGACATCAATCTTTGAATATCTTTAAGAGAAAAAAACTCAAGCTTCTTAAATGGTTGAAGGCTAGAAGCATGCCTAAAACGCTAATGCAAAAAATGTTTGTTTTCAGTGTAATAACTCGCAAATCATACAGGAAAAATAAATCATATTATGAAAACTTTGTTTGGGAGGCTTGATCAAGAAAGTATTAGCAAGAATATAACTTGTAATTCACTTTAATAGGCCTTTCAGAATCACTTTTGTGACAGGTTCGACCAAGAAGATGTTAGCTGAATAGACTTGCCAATTGTTTTGTAAGGTGGATTAAATATAGTCTAAAATCAGTGGACATAAATGTGTCGACGTTATAGTCTTCTAGATGTGTTACGTCAACCGTGACATTTGTTCCAGTCAATGTTCTTTCTTAGTCTATGGATGATTAGTCATATTTGGGTACTTCCAGATGAACACATTCAATTAATTACGTTGAAACGAATGGTCACAAACGCATTATATAAGACCCACCATGGACAACAAAGTATTTACAAATTAAAGTAACTTAATTTGCAAGTTCTTGGATTGTTAGCCATGGCGGAAGAGGGAGTGAAGCTTCTGGGATTCTGGGCAAGCCCTTACGTCCTGAGAGTTCGTTGGGCTCTGGAGCTCAAGGGAGTTGAATATGAATACATGGAAGAAGATCTGATGTCGGGAAAGAAGAGTTCTTTGCTCTTGCAGTGCAACCCAGTTTACAAAAAGGTTCCGGTTCTGGTGCACAACGGGAATCCGGTGCCGGAGTCGCTTGTGATTCTTGAGTATATCGATGAGACGTGGAAGCACAACCCTCTCCTCCCGGAGGATCCCTATGAGAGAGCGCAGCTCCGGTTCTGGGCAAAATTTGCCGATGAGAAGGTACGCTATTATTATCCACCATTTTTTCCGATCGTCAGGAATTCACAGTCACTACTGAATTGAAGGTGTGTTGTCTTGTGGACTAGCTGTTCTGATCTAATTTAGGTGTCGTGAGAAATATGCAAGTAATTATTCAAGAGTGTACAATAAATTTGTCTTGTGATGCTAAGTGACAAAGGATCACAAAGGAATAAATCAAGTTAGGAGTGTGTACTAGATAAATTCAGTCTTGTTGTTCTGACAATGGACCACAGAGATAAACTAGTTAACGTACCCTTTTTAGGACCACAAATAATAAGCTAGCTAGTCCATGCATAGCCTGAATTGTTCATAACTAATCATTTAAATCAAGAAGGTAAGAAGATAAGTTATCGGAGTCAAACTTGTTACTTTATGGTTACAAGTCAATCGTCTTACTAACTTAGTTGGGTTACTAGTTATCATCCTAATTTATGATTGTTAGTGATGGGAAACGAAATAGAATTTCTCAGTGAAGTTTTAGTGTTTGTTGTGTTGGAAAGAATATCATAAAAATGGCATTGTAAATAATTATTTTGTGGTACAAATAGTGTGTGGGGTCTACTTTCGATTTGGATTGGGTCAAAGTGGATTCGAGTTCTTCCTAGTGAAACAAAAAGATTATATATTGTACGCTCAAAACAGATAATTGGTGAATGAGAATTGATTCTCAAGTACACATATTTGAGTTGAAAAATGAATGTGAAAATGCTTTAAAGTAGCATTTGTCTCATATTGGTTTAGGCGGTGAATTTGCACCACTATATTACAAGAGCCAACATGGTGAATTCTATAGTATAGAGGCTCTCTCTCGTAACCTTCCGAGTACATATTTGAGAGTAATGGTTTGCCCGCCAAGCTCATGTGTGTTTATCCCTTGTTCTATAAACTCCTAGCACCTTGTTCTAGTTTGTCAGACTCATGTGTTTAGCACCTTATTCTAGTTTGCCGGGTTCATGTGTTTATCTCATTTGTTTGAAACTTTAAATGCTCAAACATTAAGTCGTGAGAATGTCTTTCGTTTTTTGTGCTTGTTATTTTCAAATATTATTTTTATAGTAATATTTCATAACATGCATGTTGCTTTCAGGGTTTCCCAGCGGTGTTGAAAACGTTTTCTTCGGAAGGGGAAGAGCAGGAGAAGAACGCGAAAGATGCTCGCGAGTATCTGAAAATTCTCGACGGCGCGGTCGGCGACAGGAAGCGCAGCCAGATAGGTTTCATGGGTGTTGCGGTTGCCTGTGTCGCACATTGGGCTAACATTACCGGGGAGATAATTGGGATAAAGATTCTTGATGAGGAAGAAACGCCGTCGTTGGTTACATTGTTTGAAGATGTTCTTGAATCTGCTCCTCTCCTCAAAGAATGCACGCCGGAGAAATCCAAGTTGCTGGAGCTTAACACACAATTTCGCATGATGTTGTTGGCCAAACCCTAAAATGCCCCTAATTAATGACTTTCGCCTCGTGTTGATGCGGATATTATATTGTTGGTGTAATTTTATGGTGATATTTTCGTAATTATAGTTTACATTTTGTTGGTGTTCTTAGTAAAGAGATCGAAAAAGTTTAATTATAGGTTTTTGGTGAGAAATACACTGTCTGAAAAGTGACTATCTAATCTTTCTAAATTTGGTTCCTACCTCATCAGCTTAGCTCTTGAAGAAGTTTATTCATCTGGTTAGGTGGATCTTTCTTAATCTTAGTCCCCAATTGACAAATTGTCTAACATTATGGTTGAAAAAATTGCTAGGTGTTTGGGGGCGTCTAGTGCCTATTAATCGGAGCCTAGGTGCCCGTGTATTTTTATATTATTTTTTATTTTTTAAATATTTTTTAACATTTTAAGACTTGATAATTATAAACTATTTAATACTTTAACAGTTAATACTAAAATATGAAATATTAACCTAAAAAATCTAGAATTTGAACAATTTAGGGTTATTTCACTCAAAACAATATCATTAGTTTGAGTGAAATAACACATTTAAAAAAGAAGGGAACAATAGCTAATCGGCCGACTAGGCGACCTAGTCAGTGCTTAGGAGGCCTAGGCGGTGCTTAGGCGACCTAGTTGGCCAGCCTCTTAGACCACCTATTATGGTGATACGCTAGGTGGTCGGCCAGCGCCTAGCGCCTAAGCCCCGATTAATCGGTGCCTATACTGAATTTTTAATTTGCAACACTATCTAACATTAAATCTGCACATTTCTTTACTTCTAACTTTTACATTTTGATGTAGACACATTTACGGGCCACATAAAAAGAAAAATAACTTATCAATACTCGCTACATTAAAGAGTAAGTAAATTTGAATGAGTAATATTTGAGAGTACATATAATAGAACTCAAGTAAGTAATATCCATATCGCTCTCACCCTCTATAGTTTCTAATTGAAGGAAACCCGAAATTCTTTTGCATCATATTTGCACTTGTTTTCAATCGCTACTTCCAACTTTTTTTGCATCTGGCATTGTTGTGTTCCTCGTAAATACCAGGTAATAACGATGCTTTTGTTCTAATGACAGTTACATTTTCTTGTTGGAGACAATTACAAAGTCCAAATTCGAGCTGCCTTCCACAAAGGTAAAACCTATAAATCAACACGTTTCTTGTTGCTCGAAAATTATTGATGCAGTTACCATGCTTCGTGCAGGAGCCTATCCATGATCGAATTTCAAGAAATGTTTCGCAAGCTCTGTCATCTCTGCTGTAACCGGGGAATAGACATCAAATATAGCGTACAATCGTTGAATATGTTTAAGAGCAAAAAAACACAAGCTTCTTATATGGTTGAAGGGCTTCATTAATCTGTATGATTCTGGTTAAATTAGTTTTTTTTTTAGAGAGAGAGAGAGATGATTGTACTAAGGTCCTGCTATGTATAACAGAGGTTTTAAACTTCAAAAATTTCAATAAATTTTCCATAGATGTTTAATCAAATTGTCCTGTTTCATATTCAAAGATTACTTTTCTATGTTTATATGTAGTCATTTATGGCATTGCAGATGGTTCTACACTCATACTTTTCAAATTTGGATGCAAAATTTGTACTTTTGATGACTAATTAGGTAGCATTCATTGTACAGCCTTAAATCTTCAAGTCGGATATCTCACCTAAAAAATGTGCTTACAATCCAGTAAGGAGATTAATCACTATATTAGACGGTGGAAATTCTTGGTACCCAAAAAAATAGGTATCCTTGGTTATCTCAAAAAAAATAAAAATAAATAAATAAATTAGGTAGCACCAAATTGAAAATACCATGGAAATTAAACTAGAAATGAAAAATGACATACTACCGGAGAAAATGCTCTTACTCCGAGGACTTGAAGGAGGAAGTTAATTGCAGGATGTGCTAACCCTTAAAGAGCTCAGTTGTGGAAAGCCAGAAGCATGCCTAAACGCAAATGCAACAAACGGTCCGTTTGAAAATCTGAAAAATGACTTCTGGAAAATGTTTTCTGAGTTTTCGGTGTTTGGATGCAACAGGAAAATCCAATCAACGGAAAATGTTTTCCGTTGACGAAGGAAAATGAAGCCATTTTGGCGGAAAATGACTTCCGCCAAAATTTGAGGGAAGTCATTTTCCGCCAGAGTGTTTAAACATACAATTCTACTCATTTTTTCATAAAGTTTTCCGTTGACGGAGGAAAATGAAGTCATTTTGGCGAAAAATGACTTCCGCCAAAAGTTGGGGGAAGTCATTTTCGGCCAGAGTGTTTAAACATACAATTCTACTCATTTTTTTCAGAAAATAAACTAAAGACACAAAGTTTTCCAAAATGCAACTAAACACTGGAAATGAAAATGTTTTCTGGAAAATGACCAGAAGTCATTTTCCTGCTTTCCAAACGGACCCAAAATATTGGGTTTTTCCGCTCTCTTATGTGTAATAATTTGCAAATCATACAAGAGAAATAAATCATATTATGAAAATTTTGTGTGACAGACTTGATCAAGAAGGTATTAGTAAGAATCATGCTCTATTTATTATGGCAAACCTTTCGAGGTCACCTCTATGACAGGCTCGACCAAGAAGATGTTAGGTGACAAAACTTGCCAACTGGTTTTGTAAGGTGGATTCAATATAGTCTAAAATCAGTGGACATAAATGTGTCGACGTTATAGAAGGGTTACATCAACGGCGACAAACTTTTATTTTCCAGTCAATGTTCTTAATCTATGGATGATTAGTCAAATTTGGGTACTTCCGTATGAACGCAATCAATTATTTTCTCAAATTACGTTGAAACGAATGCTCACAAACTTCTACTTGTCAATTCTACGCATTATATAAGACCCGCCATGCATAACAAAGTATCGTACACTCACATCCATAACAAATTAAAGTAACTTAATTGCAAGTTCTTGGATTGTTAGCCATGGCGGAAGAGGGAGTGAAGCTTCTGGGATTCTGGGCAAGCCCTTTCGCCCTGAGAGTTCGCTGGGCTCTGAAGCTCAAGGGAGTTGAATATGAAAACGTGGAAGAAGATCTCATGTCGGGAAAGAAGAGTTCTTTGCTGTTACAGTGCAACCCGGTTCACAAAAAGGTTCCGGTTCTGGTGCACAACGGGAATCCGGTGCCGGAGTCGCTGGTGATTCTTGAGTATATTGATGAGACGTGGAAGCAGAACCCTCTCCTCCCGGAGGATCCTTATGAGAGAGCACAGCTCCGGTTCTGGGCAAAATTTGCCGATGAGAAGGTACGTTATTATTATCCACCATTTTTTCCGATCATCAAGCCGGAATATAATTCGCAATCACTACTGAAGTTAGTGTTTGTTGTTTTCAGTGTATCCCGGCGGTGATGAAAGCGTTTTCGTCGGAAGGAGAAGAGCAGGAGAAGAACGCGAAAGAAGCTCGCGAGTATCTGAAAATTCTCGACGGCGCCGTCGGCGACAGGAAGCGCAGTAAGCAGATAGGGTTCATGGATGTTGCAGTTGCCTGTGTGGGACATTGGGCGAACATTACCGGGGAGATAATTGGGATGAAGCTTGTTGATGAGGAAGAAACGCCATCGTTGGTTAGATTGTTTGAGGATGTTCTTGAAGCTGCTCCTCTCCTTAAAGAATGCACGCCGGAGAAATCCAAGTTGCTGGAGCTTAACACACAGTTTCGCATGATGTTGTTGGCCAAACCTTAAAATGCCCCAAATGACTTTCGGCTCGTGTTGACGCTATTATATTGTTGGTGTGATTCTGTGTGGTGATATTTTCATAATTATATTTTATATTTTGTGAGTGTTCTTAGTAAAGAGATGGAAAAAGTTTGCATTTTATATTTTATGTGATCAAGTTTTGACTTTGTTTTAATATAAGTATTATTATTTGAAAAAAAAAAGTTTAATTATAAGTTTTTGGTGAGAAACACATTGTTCCGAAAGTGACTATCTAATCCTTCTAAATCTGGTTCTTCTCGCATCAGCTTATCTTGAAGAAGTTCATTCATCTGGTTAGGTGGATCTTTCTATAATTGTAGTCCCCAATTGACAGTTTGTCTAACATCATGGTTGAAAAAATCGCTAGGCGCTTTTCATGCCCTTGGGGGGCCTAGGCGGGGATTAATCAGCGCCTAAGTGCTCATGTATTTTTATATTATTTTTTATTTTTTAAATATTTTTAAAATTTTTAAAACTTGATAAGTATAAACTATTTAATATTTTAACAGTTAATACTAAAATATGAAATATTAACCTAAAAAAATCTAGAATTTGAATAATTTATGGTTATTTCACCAAAAAAACAATATCGTTTTGAATGAAATAACACAATTTAAAAAAGAATGGAACAATAGTTAATCGGCCCACTAGCGACCTAGCCGGTGCATAGGCAGCCTAGCTGGCCAGCCTCCTAGCTAGACCACCTGATTATGGTGATATGCTAGCCGGCCGGTAAGCGCCTAGGCACCGATTAATCAGGATTTTTGCAACACTGTCTAACATTGATAAGATAATCTGCACATTTCTTTACTCATAACTTTTACATTTTGATGTGGACACATGAAAAAAATGACTTATTAATACCCGCTACATAAATTTGAAGGAGTAAGATTTGAGACTAAATCTAATAGAATTCAAGTTACAATAACTTCATCGGATACCGGGTCGTGACTCGGTACGGAATCCCCGTGGAACTCGGCGGCGGAGACAGGGATAAGGTTCGCCCGGCAGACGGGGCAGGTGACGTGCGCCGCCAGCCACGCGTCGATGCAGTGAGTGTGGAAGACATGGCAGCATCTAGGGAGCTGCCGGAGCTTCTCCTCGCCGTCGTCGAACTCGTTCAAACACACGGCGCATTCCAGCGCGCCGTTACCTATCATGAGCGCCGCCTTCACATCGGAGTAGCGAAACCTCGGAAAGGCGTCAATGACATCCGAGTCTAGTCCGCGCCGCTGCCGGACGATTCTGTCGCCGGCGAAGTCCCTAGCGAGCAGGTGGTGGGCGCATTGGTGGAAGTAGATAACGACGCAGCCCATTACCAAGAACCCACAGATAAGACACACTAAAACAACATCCGTATGTGCCATCACCACCCACTTCTCCGATCCAACTGGGTCCGCCGCCGCCGGCGGCGGCGGCGTGAGCAGTGTGGCACCCCTTTCAGCCATCCGTCACCGGCGAAAACAAGAAATTAATCCGGCACAAGTTTTAGATAAATCGATATATATATCCTTCTCGAATCTGGACGTAATTTATTTGTAAATAGGTTGAAAAGTTTATAGATCAGTGATGGCCATCGTCGAACTAATCAAGAAAGCTTAGAGCAACAGTTCTTAACACCTAAGCAATGTTTGGTTGATGATTAGATTAGATTAGATTAGATAAAAGTTCATTAACAAGTGTAGAGAATGAGATGCTTAATCCTTTTGATAATGATAGCTTTCCTAATCAAATTTCATTACCATCTTCGATGCATGCCTAATGCCTTTATGTTCTTGCCGCCCAGGTTTTATGATAACGTACGACTTTGTAAATAAGATGCTTGTTTTGGGTGCCACTAGGAATATATGTCTTGTGTTAGGTAAATAGCAGTTAGCGGATTGAGTTAGCGAGTTTGACTAGTTAATAGTAAAAATGTGTTTGGTAAATTAGAGCTGATAACTAATTACATGCAAAATGACTTTCTCAAAATGTTGATTGAAATTAAAAAATTACTTTGAATAATTTTTTAAAATTTTAGTATTTTGGAGCAAGTTGTTACAAAAAACTAATTAATCAAATTTTCATATTGATTGTTTAACCAATTCCCAAGTTAAACAGTTAATAGTGACAAAATAAACGAAAATTGACTTATATGATGGCTTGTGTTACCCAACAAGCCCTTTACCTTCTAACCTGTTAGGTCAAACCTCTACTACCTCTTGTGGAGCTACACTTATTATACTGGTTTTTTTTTTTTTTTTTTTTTTTTTTTTTTTTTGTTAGAGTCACAATGTTGAGTTTATTCTCTAGTAATGTTATAGGTTTTCCTCATCATCGAGTTATTTATAGCAGATTAGCTCAAATCAAGAAGGTATATAATAATATTGGCGGAATAAAATTATCGTTTTAATCAATTTTTTAAAATTTAAAACTGAAGAATGATAACTGTGTTAAAAAAATAAAACTTAATATTATACTTGATTGTAAGCCATATATATATATATATATATATATATATATATATATATATATATATTTATATTTATAATTGTAGAAGATTTGAACCATCCAACATTATTCCAACTTGTATTTTCAATGAAATATGGACTGCAGGTGCATTGAGTGCTATGGGATTCCTATTCGATAATTGACCGAATAAATTAAAGAATTAATTTGATTGATATACCCAACAATATATACTAAGTCATACCAAAAAGATTGAATTGGGGATCTTTTTCAAATAATCCAATTAATTAATAAAATATTGATTCTCATGATTTCATTTCCATTATCATCACCACGGAATCCATGGGTCTAGTTGGGAAGAAAATGTGTTAATAACAATTAAATTCGTGATATTTACTTTATCTAACCAACCACCCATTTCAAGTCTATTTTTGACCTTTTTTCATTTCTTATTAACCCTGAGGGTCCGGAGGGACCGGTCATTTTGAGTCCAAGTACAAATTTCTTGGCCCCACCGCAGCAATTGACTTAGATCACCATATTATAATAATTTTATGTCCTAGGAAATAACATTAATAATACCCTTTAATACATGACAAATGTATATCAAAATGAGACAATCCAAATTAAGTAGATAATCATAAAGTTACAAGTTTGGCTTATAGTGAAAGTTGTTTATTGGCTTTGGTTTATCTCTTTTAATCTTTTATGGAGTATCAGTTAGGATTTATCTAATGCACACTTTTGAATAGTTACTATCACTCAAAATGTAATATATGTTCATATATACTTTTTCAACCTAATGATACACAAAGAGACCTCCCACAGTTATGCCGCTCGATTGCAAGATCTTGGCGATAAAACATTTGTTGATTGACTTAAATTCGAATTTCCCCCTTTTTAACCAATTATATTTAATACAAACAATCATAAAACAAAACTCTGCAATACTCTCAATTAACTCATTCATGTGATTTATAAACTATTACACAAGAACGAAATTACTCAATACATATCAAGTTGTGAGTTTTCCTCATTATCTAAAAAAAAAAATAATATGAGCTGAAGTAAAATCAACCCATAATTTGGCCGGGCTTACAACTGCATAGCCCCTGTTTGTTGCTTTTGATTTTTGAGTTACCCAGAATTGAACATTGTTACAGAGGGAGTATGGAATTGGGAGTTGGATTTGGAGCGGAGAAAAATGACCTCCCACCATACGAAACCGATCTCTTCATCGCCATTTTCTGAGTTCTTGAATCCTTGATCGCCGGCAATCCCAGAACATTTGCAGCCATTGAAGAGTCTATGGAGGAAGATCTTCTTAGTGCTGACACAGTGCCGGATTCTTGAATTCTGATCACTTCGTTCTCTTGATTTCTTCCGACTTGGTTGTTGTTGTCGTTGCTGGATTCTCCGTCGCCTTCCGCGCCGTTTTCCGCCGGAATTTCTTCGCTTCCGGGTGAGGTAGCGGGAAGCGGCGGCGGAGCTGCGGGGACGTCGGAAACAATGGCGGCGCGGCACAGCGGGCAGTTGGTGTGGGCCCTCAGCCACGTATCGATGCACGCGACGTGAAACGCGTGGCTGCATTTGGGCAGCAGCCGGAGATTCTCGCCGTCGCGAAACTCGTTCAGGCAAACGGAGCAATCCGTCCCGTCGACCAAACCCTCGCCGTTTCTGTACCTCAGAACCGTTATCTTACCGATCACCGCCGCCGGAAGCCCGATGGTGCGGATATACCAGATGGGGTGGTCGATCACCGGGCCACGGCGGCTTTCCACGAGGAAGTCTAAATTCTCGCCGTCGAGCCGCGAGTCGGCGCGTCTCCTCCGTTGCCAGCCGGAGCAGTTCCGGACGATGATCAAGTAGTAGCCGAGGAGGAGGAAGAAGCTGGCAAGCAACGCCACCGCGATGATTATGTAAGGAGAGATGCTCAGAACATGTTTACTCGCCGGCGGCGGCGGCGGAAAGATGTCCATAAGTTCGGTTTGATTCACCGGAAAAAGCTTTCGGTGCTCTGCGGCGGCCATGGACGGTGGATGACGGAGGTTTCGGTTGGGAGTTAAAATGGAGTTTCGCTACAGAACATTGGATAATGTTACACGCACTGAAATTTTATATATTATCTTTTTATTGATTCGTAATCAAATTAATTAATTACTTTATATAGATTGTTGCACTTATTAAAATTCAGGCCAATAAAGAGCAACTTTTTAGTGCCTAAATGTGAATGGAAATAATAACTAAATAAGTCTTACTCATTGGTTTAATTTCAAATGTCACGTCAAAATCCTAACCATAATCCAAATCAAATATTTAGTACACTAATTTAAATAGGTTCACATAATTAAAACTAATATTATATGCGAATGACCTTGTAGTGACATCAAATTGTTTCGGTATTACTTTTTTATGCTTCAGTAATACTCAAAAATAATATTATATTTTTGTTAGGCAATAAATAAAAAAAAATTTCGCTTAGCATTTTTTTCAGGTTCGCTTAAATAACCATTCTATAATGCTAATATAGAATTAAATAAAAATTTCTCTCACTTAACATTTTTTTCAAGGTTTCACTTAGATAACCATTCTACAATACTGACATAGAATTAAATAAAAATTACTTTTGTTGAATTGGTAATTTGTCACCTTCGTTGTTGACTTTTAAACTCAAACACCCATTGCTGACTTTTTTTTCTTCAACAAACCGCACCATGGATCGTCGATGTTATTAACTGCTCAAGAACACAAAGAAAATAAAGACACAATCATCAACTTTGTTGCTCATTAATTCGAGCTGAGGTCCCATTGTCTTTTGTGAAAATTCTAAATTTAATTTCAGATTATTATTTTTGTCATTTAATACCCCAAACTATCATATTTATATACTTTTGATCTTTCTCGTAACTTTTTCAACAAAACTCTGTTTTAGACAAAAGTACTTTCTTCTCATCATCTTTTTTTTTTTCTTGGTATTGAAAACATTATTTAAGAGATATTGTTAGTATCCAACATTTTATATGTTGAATTTTTTTTCCTATGACATTTCCTAGTACAAAAATTGCTATGAATCATGGTATGCTGGAAACGTATGTATTTCAATTCATAAATCGCATATATGATTGCAAATCAATTATATACGGAGTATATGGAATATAATTCATATATAATCTTAAAATTTTGCTATATAAACTTCCCATTATATTGACATCATTTAAAAAAAAAAAAGGTTACAAATATGATATATGGTTCCATTATTTACAAACTTGCCTTAATTACAAATTGTTAATGATATTGCTAACTGCTCCATTATTTTTTTTAAGGGAAAATGGCACTTTTTTCCCCTTTATTATATACTTATAGCATTTTTTCCCCCTAAATTATTTAAGTGGCAGTTTTTCCCCCTGATATATTAAATGGACATATTTACCCTTAAAATAAATATTTCATTTATTTTTCTTCTCCAACAAATTATAACCACGATTTGAAAAAATAAAATACATTAAGTGTTGAATTTAGAATATTTTAAAAATAAAAAAAAATAAAATTTTAAAATAAAGTTTGAACCAACCGTTCAAATTGGATCCAAAATTGTGAACCGACGGTTCAAAATAAAACTCAAACCGCGATTATATATACTTATATGTGAGAGTCAATATAAATGCGAAAAAAAACATACACTATTTGCAAATATTATAATTCTAATTTAAGCTATTGCTAGTAGTTATTCCGAATTGAACCTCCGGTTCACGGTTCAGGATCCATTTTTTTCCAGTTCACGATTTTAATAAACGGAAACCCAAATATTGGGTTATGTTATGAATCATAACCGAAATTTTTTAATTTGATTGCTATAGTGTTTGGTTCAGTTCGAACCGAACCGTGGTCATCCCTACGTATAAGCAATAATTTGTTGAAGAAGAGAAATAAATAAAATATTTGTTTTAAGGGTAGAAATGTCCATTTAATATTATCAGGGGGAAAAACCGTCACTTTTATAATAATTGAGGGGGCAAATGTGAATGCATGAATAACTCAAGGGGAAAAAGTGCTATAAACATATAACACAGGGGGAAAAAGTGTCATTTTCCCTTTTTTTTAATTTTTTTTAAGAAGGGAAACCTGCAACCACCGTAGTCACTAACAAGGGTATAAATGAACTAAATTCATTTTTTATAATAGTGCAAGCTACCATATATAATAAGTAAAATTACAGTAAAACGAAAAGATATTAACAATAATCAAACTAGTAATTTTTTGATACAAGAATCATACTCTATTTACTTGGTCATCGGCTTTCGAGTTTTAAAAAAATCATTCACCGTTAAAATTAGTGTGTGGCATGTCGCATGCATTACATGATCTAATGCTAATTATTAGTGGTTTAAACTTTAACTAGAGGCCTAAATTTCTCCGTTTAGGTGTTATGTCAGCATCACTAAAGAGTATAAATTAAAAAGTTTTGCTTTTAGTAGGTTGGTGCATTTACTGTTGCTATGACTATTTACCATTACCACAAATTGACAAATATATATATATATATATATATATATATATACATATATATATATATATATATATATATATATATATATACACGCGCGCACACACACACTATAAACTACATTTACCGTTCAAAATATTTCTTTTGTATAGCATATGTTATTGAATATATACATAAGTCCAAATTCTTAATATCATATTTACACAACTTAGTTACGTTTTTTTTTTGTTTCACTTGAGTTCAAACATTTTGATCATATATTTCAATAAGAAGTTCATGAATTTAATTCATGCTAACATCTTCTTAGTCAAGCACGTCCATTGCACATGATATTTTTTAATGCAGTTATTTATTTATTTGAGTGAGGCTATTACATAAAAATAATTAAGACGGAGTTTACCTAATACAGACTATCATATAATAATGTTGTAGTTGTAATGTAAATGTGAACATATCTATGTATTATCTATGTATTTATTAGAAACGAAAATAAAAGGATAAAGTAAATGACTATTGAAATTGTAATATTGATTCATCCCAATCTCAATAATTAATGGGCATTTAAGTATTTGATGCGCTGAATTTTTGTTCCATGTCACCCATTGGTTGTTGAATTTTCTTGATGGAAACTCTTACCCATTATTATTATTATTATTATTATTATTATTATTATTATTATTATTATTATTATTATTATTAGAGCAAATACCAATTTTGGTCCCCCGAGTATTAGCAAAATGACAATTTTAGTCCACATGTTTAATTCCTACCAATTTTCATCCTCGACTATTACTTTAGTACCAATTTTCATCCACGACTATTGTTTTAGTGCCAAAATTCATCACGCCAGTCACACATTTGTTTAAAACATGTCGAAATATGAAATTATTAAGGGTATTTTCGTCTTTTTACAATTAAGATCCCAATTTGAGCATGAATAAAAAGATTTAAGCCCTAAGATCTATCACGATTCGCAAATTTTCTCCTCAAATTAAAGTATGATGATGAGGAGAACTGCCAATTAGGATTGATCTTAGGGCTTACATCCCTTTATTCATGCTCAAATTAGAGTCTTAAGTTGAAAATGACGAAAATGCCCTTAAAATTTTTAGATTTCGACATGTCTTGGATGGAGGGGTGACCGACGTGATGAATTTTGGTACTAAAATAATAGTCGTGGATGAAAATTGGTACTAAAACAATAGTCGTGGAATGAAAATTGGTAGAAATTAAACATGTGGATCAAAACCGTCATTTTGTTAATACTCGTGAGACCAAAAGTGGTATTTGCTCATTATTATTATTTCAAAGTGGATTAATTATCTTCCAATTAAAGAAAGGAAAAGGAAATAAATGGTGGTCCGAATATATATATATATATATATATATATATATATATATATATATAGGTACACACACGTGTGGCCATCTGCCACACGCAGGATATTAAAGAGGTGGCCATGGCATTATTAGACCCAATAGACCTTGTGGGCTGGAGTAATTTACTATGACCATCTGCCCAAAAAGTATCATATTAGCCCATAACAGCAATGCTAGAGTATTACAAATAGTATTGTTTTGTAATAGAATATGACATGTTTTGTCTTCGTTTAGACAATAACCATTTATACAAGGAAAAATCCAACAAACTCTTTAAAATTGCGATGGGCCGCGAGACCAAGTCAAGGTGCACGTTGTTGGTTGTGTAACTAGGTTTCAGATTTCAAACTCGGAGACGGGCTCAGGGGCGCAAGGATAACTAGCGGCCTGGGGGTCCTCGTTCTCTATTCGGGTCGCAGATTCTTTTGGAGCCCGGGCGGTGGACTCTCATTAGTTTAGATCACACGAATCGCAGGCTCTTAAGTCTTTTGTTGTGGACTCTTCTTGAATCGTCTGGGATCATCTCTTTGATTCTGAATTATGGGCTCCAAAACTCCAGATTTCGTGCCATTTTTAATATTTTCATCACACGTAAATTCAAAGGAAGATATATGCATTTTATAGTTTCATGATATTATATTATTTTCATCACACGTAAATTCAAAGGAAGATATATGCATTTTATAGTTTCATGATATTATATATCATAGGATTCATAGATGATGCATTTTCTTTAATTTGCTACTGTTTCTTATAAGAGTTTGAAGAGATTGGTTGAAGAAGAGTTTGAAATTTATTGATTCGTTTCCGTGTGAAAGGAGATATATATGCACGTGAGTCTAGCTACCACCTGGTAGTAGAATACGGATAAAAAACATTTAACAATAAAAATTACGTGGAATTTAAGGTTTACCCCTACATCTTTGGAATTGGAACACGTGGAAGAATAATACCAAGTCAGTTTTGTTTGGCATTTTAATATTTTATTCCATATGTAAGAGAACATATTTTTTCAACCACTGATTGCGTTAAGAATATACGAATAAAAAGAAAGTAAGAAAAGTCGACTATGCCACATTGCCATGGCTGGCCTAGTCGTCGTTGAAGGGGGTAAATATGTCCTTTCAATCGCGAGTGCAATACCTAGGAACGTGCTAACCGTTGACAAGAACGGTTCATGCTACAATGACAGGAGTTGTTAGGTTTCGTTAATTAAATATAATGGTTAAACTAATCATAGTTTAGTGCTATAAATTTGGTTTAAAGTAACATGTTTTCATTAATTAATTGAATATTAAGATTGTCAAACATCTGTCAATGTTTATTGGATAAATTATTTCTTCTTATAATTCTAACTGACAAATGATCATTCTTGCAGAAAATTGAACGTAGAACTTTGTAGCTACTAGGTTAATATATAAACCAATGGAATTGTCCAAACATATATATGCCCTGTTGCTCGTCAAGAAGATGGTGCGAACCTTCCATTATTGAGCCATGGAAGTCTTAGAACAACCTTAACAGACACGACATTGCAGAAAAAGTCAAAGTGCATGGCTTTATATAATGCAATTTGCCCAGACACCCAAATATTCAATTCTCTCTTCAACTATTCAAAAGCTCAAGTCTTTAATTTCCATCTTCTCCCATTGGTTAATTATCTTTCATCCATTTATAACAGTACAAGCTAAGGTTCATCAATGGCGACATCATCAATCCGTTTGCCCGGTTTTTCCTCAAGAAACCCTGCTGGTTCTAGACCGACAACCTCAAAGAACATCATGGGTTTTCAGACGTTGGGTTTGGGAGGTTTACATCTATGCTCCTCAGTCCTCAAAACTGGCAATAAGAGCTTACAAAGTAGCTTTGTAAACCCTAACAGGTAATTTCAATAAGTTGGTTTTCGATTTCATTCTTATTTTCACCTTTTTTCTTTAGTAACGCCCCATCAAGAATGTCTCATTAAATTATTTTCATTTTTTTTTTTGTGATATTAATATATATAAAATAAAATCTGCAGAGGGCTTCTTGTCTGCTTCAGCGGCACCGAACCAGGAATTCCCTTGCCTTCAGGACCGCCGGATTCAAATCCACTGTAAGTTGAAACCTTCCATAAAAACGCCCATTCATCGGAAACTTGATAGTAAAATATGGAAGAAGATAAACTAATTAATTATTATAACAAATAATTAAATTTCTGGTGATTTAATTTGCAGAAAGGGTTGGCTGATAGGGCTCCTGATATCAGTGGTTATACCATTTTTCCGTCATAAATTTGGATCGTTTCTGCAAATCAGAAGTAAGCAATCCTTTAATTTAGTCAACGTTTGGCCTCGTTTTTTGAATTGTCAGTTTTGTTTGTTATATATAGTTTGTTTAAATTATATTTTGTGTCTTTTTGGGCGTCCAGGCGCTATAGACAAGGTGGAAGAAATCGTACACGGCGTAGAGAAGGTGGCGGAGGTGGTGGAAAAGGTGGCGGAAGAGATCGGCGAAAATCTGCCGGCCGGGAAACTGAAAGATGCGGTGGAGCTGATCGAGCATGTGGCGGAGAAAGCTGACAAGGATGCCGAAGCACTAGGAGAATTCATTGATAAGGTCATTTTTACTTTAATTTGCATGGAATGAATAATAATTTGTTTAATCCAAAGAGACCGAACTAACATATCATTCAATTTGGTATTAAGCAAGATTTAGAATAATGTTAATGATTGAAATAAACATATATAAATAATGCAGGTGGAAGAAGTAGGAGATAAAGTGGAAGATGGGGTGGAGTCGTTGGTAGAGTTGGTGCACCGCCAAGAAGATGAAGATGAAGATGATGCAGTGAAAGTTGAGAAACCTCCCAAAGACCAAAGTATGTAGGACTAAATTATATATTGCATGCAAATTTATAGCAATGATTAATATTCTTTTAAATTTATTTGTACCAAAATAATGTATAGCAATTTCAATATTCTTTTGTAATTAGTTAAACATTATGTCTCAATGCACAACTCAAACTAATTAAATTCATATGTTTTGTTTTGCTAGCCATTACATGTGTACGTACGGTTCAAATTCTAATGTACAAGCATTTAGAGACGTCATTTTATTTTATTACTAATTAACAAATCAAGTTCTATTCACTCACGCATATACAACATTTATCCTTCTAAAAACCTTTTGAATAAAAGTAAGAAATACACACAGACAATTTAATTAATATGAGGTGATAAATTAAGGATTGAACTCTAACCGTTATAACTTAAGAGTTTCATCTAATGTAAACACCTGACACTAATCCTTCCCACTGCACATGCACATAAGAGCCTGCTGTCAAGACCTAAGCTACCAATAGAGATCTGATGCATTGAAAAATTGTTGTAATATATTTAAGATATTTAAATTAAAAGTTTTGTTACATGTGAATATCCTTTTTGTAGTGTATTTATATAATTAAAAGTAAATATCAATTTTAATTTATTCAAACTAAACAATTATTAATTTGAGAAATAAATACAAATAAACAATTATTAATTTGGACAATAGAGTTGAATTGGGGAATTTAGGATTCATGCCAACTTGTCAACTTATCCACAATTTCTCAGTTCCTCCTAACGGCGCCGTTTGGATTATCTTCCTTTTGTGAATTGTGAATCGCCGTCTCCCCTTATCCGCTTCTGGTCAGAGTTGAGTTCTAAACCCCCACCACGCAGCGGCAAAAAATCGCCATTGAAACTTGAAAGCTTTCACTCTCTGAAAGCGTCCAGAGGAAATGTCAATCCATGGCTTAGTCTGTTCTCCTTCAACACTTCACTTCTGCGCTCAAGAATTGCCCTTTTCGCCACCTTCATTTTCATCTCTTTACAAGTCTGCCCGACCCACTCCTCTTCTCATTCCGCCCACTCTTTCCTTACGCACTTCGTCTCTATTACTTCCATTTCCCGTTACGCCCAAAACGCCCGCCTTTCATGTCTTGCAAGCCACCGCGCCGTTGTCAGAGGAAATTGGTCGAACAGAAGAAGTGCAGTCTGGAGACGAAGCTCCTGGAAACAGAGTGGTTGCCCAGAATGTCCCCTGGACCTCCACCGCAGACGACCTTCGTCCGCTGTTTGAGAAGTATGGTACTGTCGTCGACATTGAGGTTCGTAATCCTGATTATTTGATTTTGTTGATGAGCTAGCGTTGCTTGTTTTTCAGTTTTCTGAAATGGATTTCTTTGTTCCTTTTAATTATCTGGTCTGCCGGGTAAGCTTTCAATGTATAACAAGAGTAGGAACAGAGGTTTAGCATTTGTGACAATGGGTTCACACGAGGAGGCTGTGGCAGCTCTCACCAATCTTGACTCGTATGTAAGCATATTGAATTTGAGAACTAATCATTTCTCAGAATTTAAGCGATATGTTGTCGTTTAAAAGTTCCATCTTTTTTGCATTTTATGTGCTGTAACTGTAAATAGGAATTTGAAGGGAGACTTTTGAAGCTTAATTGGGCAACACCAAAGCCGAAGAAACCTTCTTCTCCACCCGTTCCTAAGCCTAAGCCTATTTACAACTTGTTTGTGGCGAATTTGCCATTCCAAGCAAGAGCTAAAGACCTTCGAGAATTCTTTAATGCTGACAATGGAAATGTTGCTTCTGCTGAGGTAATATTTCTTGAAGATCCAAGGCGGTCTGCTGGATATGGATTTGTTTCCTTCAATACCAAGGAGGCTGCTGAAGCTGCACTCTTGGCTTTCGAGGGGAAGGTAATGCTAAACGTAACTTCATTTGTCGTTGCAGTGTTGGTTTGTCAGCTGAATACTTTGCTCTATCAATGTTTTATGGTGTTCGTTTTTAGATTATGTTTTCGAATTCAAATCCGTTGGAGTTGGCTATTGTATGGAACAGTGAGAGTTTCTGTTTATTTCAGGAGTTTATGGGTAGACCGATTAGGGTGGCACGTAGCAAAATGTATCTAAGAGAACAGACAAAACTGGATATTCAATCTCAAAGTGCCCCAAGTGAGTCAAATCCCGAGGGAGAGTAGAGGCCCAATACTTGGCCTGTTGTTGATGGTTGAAATGGTGAGTTTCGATGTTCTTTATTTTTATATCACTATACTGGAAATTTGAAGTATTTCTTGAGGTTTTATGAGAAACGTCAGTTTTATGATGTCAAAGTTTCTGTCTTTCACTTAGTTCAACTGAAATTAGCTTTTGTAATCAGTTTAGTTATACAATTACCTTTTGCCATTTAGTTGATTATGCAAACCATTGTTATTATTCTAGGCCTTGTAGCTCCAAGGATCCCCCTTTGTTCTTCTATCTGTGTCAATTCGCATGTTAACTTCAAGAAATGAACATTTGACCTTGCATCACTAAACTATGCATTTAAAGCATACAGGCTACTATGACATTGTTATGTTTTCGGGCGAAAGCACGCGTCAAAGGGCGAGTAGGGTTATTGGGGTTGTCTATGTTGAGAGATAAATATAAGGCACAAAGATAATAGGAACGTTTTGAGAGTTTTCCCACCTCTTGATTTTAACTTAACTTCTTTCTTGCTTGTCCTTTTATTAGAATGAAAATCCCCTTTATATAAGAGGGTTACAAAGACTAGTAAAACATAAAAAGGAAAGGAAGACTAGCAAAAACATAAAAAGGAAAGGAGAATCACTAAAGATCCTTACCCTAATTATTTGCTATCTCTAAAGGAAATAAATCAATTCTAATAGTAAAGATAATAAATCAGTTATAATAATAAAGATATTCCCTTAATCATCATATCAGACATCCTTAACTCCAAGGGGGCGAGACATGAATAGATAGCTTGATAGTATGTTGTTGTGGCGGTGATCAAACCTACATACATATTACACAAGATTATTTTGTTTTGATATTTAGCAAAATCTTTCTCTCGGGGTTCTGCATTATGCCCCGTTATATTCTGTAATCTCTATTGAGCATTGGGTGATCCATAGCTATCATATCTGTTTCCCAAGCTACTTTGTTCGGTTCCTTCTTTTTGTACACCATATGTCTTACCGATAAACCATGATTCTTCTCTTGCTTTGTTCTTCCAGGTTCAGGCCAATTGAAGCTGCAGATAATACATTGCTTACTCAATCAATGCATTTTGGCTCTTATCTTGCAAGAAGGTAGGCTTTTACATTATACTTTGCAGTAATTATGTGGTAGCGATGTTACCCCCCAAAAAAAAAACAAAACGAAGAAGAAAAATGATAAAGAGCAGAATGAAGCCAAGGAAGAATGAAAGCAGGGAAGAAAAACAGATTTTGACATCAATATTGGCAACTCTATGAGTTACTAAAATTTAAAAAAAAAAAAAAAAGTTTTGAAACCAGTTTCTTTGCTTTGAAGTTCTATAGAGATTATGGTGTCAACACTTGTAGAACATTGCTACTAACTAAGCTTGTAAAATTAAAGGATGTAATGTTATGAGGTATTTTATGGTCTTTGTGATACTTTCATCACATTTTTGTGCATAGTTAGTACGTATTTCTATTGTTTCGATCATTGATCTGTCTTAGATTGAAGGTTGGTGTGATAGAGGTGGGTAGAAAATTAAAGTAGGATTGCTTTATCACTTCCCTCCAAATTGTCAAGATCATTGGTCTTGGACTTCATGCTTTAGGTATTGATGGAATATATTGTGTGGGGTTGCAAGTGAAAGGAAAAACAAATCCAAGCTCTAAACCCTTACCCGGGCAAGTGTCAATGACGTAAACGCTTGATAGAGACAAAAATGTGCCTTACTTGCCCCCCATGTTGTACTACAAACTAGTATGGGAACGGAGAAGATATGTTGATAGCTGTTACTTGATTGGATTAGTGAGTTTGGCTAGTTGATTGCATTAGCTGATTGTAGAAAGATGTTTAGTAAATTGACTGTTAATCATGGTAACTCAGCTAACAGATGCTAGACCTTTGTCACTGCCGCTGGTGAGATTTCATCCCAGGTCATTGTTTCTAGACTTCACCTCTGTGACCAACTGAGCTGTCCATGCAGGCAATGAACAACTGGACAAGTGGAGGATGAAGTTGCTAGCTTCTACATTTTTTAAGGGGTAAAAGTGGGAGATTAGGATGGTAAGCATGAGAGGTTTGAAGGGAAAGTTGGTGAGTTTTGGCCTGTTTGGAGGAAAATAGGTGAGTTGGTCCCAACCATTATTTCCAGATATATAATTTGAAAGGACCATTGCAGTGTATGGTTAGCATGTGGTCGGACCCTCTTCATGTTTATGGTTGCTGTGTTAGGTATACACACAATCATTGCTATCTTCCACAAATAATATAATTACTCACCACAAATGCTCTGATCTTCATAATTGGATCTTAAGTCTGGATTAAAAGCTAGCTAGTCTTTATACATACATATATAATTCATGATGCCTCACCAACCTATTCTCTGGCAGTATGACACATGTGACACTTAAAGAAGTCTTAATTTATTTTTACTAATTAATCTAATTATGTCCTCATGGGAACCATCTAATTATGTCTCCAATATAATCCACCTTTTTATCTGTATGGTATGCTTCATCTTTAATAAAGTTTCCTTATTTATTTTTTTAATAATAAGAAAAGGTAAAGAAGTACTTTCCACCATTCCACCAACTTCAGAAACTTCTTAAATATTTTGTTAGTCTAGAACCCATTTTTTGCACCGTCCAAATTCTTAGGACATAAACAATCCTAATTGAAATCATATTAATTAGTCTCATAATAATAGAGGTATGGGATATTGTATGTAACTATTGATATATAATACAAATAGAAGAATTAATTTTCGTTTAAAAGAAGTAGGGGAAGGTTAATTTTTGTTTTGAATTTGATCTTTATAAATAAAATAACAATCTTTTACCTAATAACTCAACTTCAAATTAGTTGTTGGAATCAAACAATAAATATTGAAAGAACATCTTAACAAGATCCACTAAGAATTCAAATGTGGTAATTTACATTCATGGGAGAAAACGAAAGTCAAACCAATGAATACTAGATGTGAAAGGTTTAGGTAAAGAGCACTCGTATTATTTAAGTAATCCCACCATCCCCATGCTACTAGAATGGACGAAGGCCCTTTACAACCACACATTGCATAATTGTTAGATTAATCAAATCACCTACTTTTCTTTCACATATATTTGTCTACAAAAAGCAAAATTTCTTCACTCCAACCAGACCCTATATCCCGACACAACAATATAGTAGAAAAAGTAAATCACAAAGACTTAGCCTCAGTCGTCAGGGTGACTCAGAAATTATTAAGTGCAATTAAAAGATCAGCATCTGAAATTTTCACACCGCAACTGTCAGGGCTTATCTTTCACACATACTTAATTAGTGTATGTATATAAGTAAGCTTCCCTGTCCTTGCTCCTATCATCTCTTCAACAAGCCATCTCTCTTAGCTTTCTCTCTCTCTTGATCTCCAACAGACACGAAACATGGCAATCTTTGGTGTGGGAAATGTAGTTTTGATTCTTAGTATATTGTGCAACGTTGTACCAAGTTTGGGTACAAAGTACACTGTCGGAGACACCTCAGGGTGGGCACTTAGCGGTGATTATGGAAGTTGGGCTAGTGGCAAGACTTTCAAAGTCGGTGATTCTCTTGGTAAGCTCTCATTCTTACATTAGATAATATAGATATAGTATTCTTTAGCATGAATTAAAAATATGAAAATGTAATTTGCAGTGTTCAATTATCCAAGTGGACACACGGTGGATGAAGTGAGTGGGAGCGACTACAAGTCATGCAGTGGGGCGAATTCCATCAGCACAGACAGCAGCGGCGCCACCACCATCCCTCTAAAGACCGCCGGGAAGCACTACTTCATCTGCTCCGTCCCCGGCCATTGCAGCGGCGGCATGAAGTTGGAGGTCAACGTGGAAGCAGCGGGATCATCTGGCGGCGATTCCACACCGCCAGCCTCCGGCGGCGGTTCTCCGTCGACGAAGACTGCTCCCAAGCAAGATGTTCCGGCTCCGTCGTCGTCTTCCTTAGCGGCGGCTTCTTCGTTTCTGAGTTGGGTGGGTGTAATGATGATTGTGTTCTTGGCTTTTTGATCGTCAGGATAGAGGCAGTGCTGTGTGTTTGTAATGATTATATGTTTTCTTTTCTATTCAGTGATTTATCCATTTTCATATCTCACCATTTCATCTCGATCTGATCTATAATTTGGATGAGTCTTTCCATCCCCTTGCATGTATGATGATCGAGTTTTTATTTTATCTATTTTAATTTGTGTGCATCTTTTTTAATTTCATGCTTATTATTTTTTGAATAAGAGAAAATTTTAAAATATGTATTTAATAAACCTCGCTGCATGTAAATCGCATTGGAGAGACAAATCGCATTAGAAGGAGCCCTGTGCTATAGGATCGATCAAGAATCAAACTCTTAATCTTCAAATATGAAAATCATATTATATTCACTTGGTCATCTCTTTCCGGACAAGTGGAGTAATTATTTGATAACAAATGGTAAAGTTTATTATGGAGTAATTTGGTATAGTTTTATTATATATAATTATACTAATTAAGTCAACCCATTATGACAAAACTTCACTCAAAAGGGCTCCAGAAAAGGACTCAATTTTGTTACATTTCCTCTTGTAGGTTTGCAAAAAGTACTGTTCCACTTTGCTACTCAGATAATGGATCCCACAGAATAGTCATTGTCAAATATATATAGAGCTGATAGAATATTTAAGGGATATATAAAAAAGACTCAAGGAGAGCCATTGCAGCTACTATCATGGGAAATTAACCTATTTTAATCTGACTGATCGATATTCACCTAAATACATTTTGCGTGAATCGAATATTTTTAAATGATAGCGAATTGTGGGTCACAAGTAAATTTTAAAAAAAATCAAACCCGTAATGGGTTGGGTGAGCCCTTAATGAAGGTCAGGTCTCTCTTGTATCTTGAGTCTTAACCTTATTCAGTATTCAATATCGTTAATTAGATGAAGATATGAATGTCAACATGATGGGTACTCATCACCCATTTAACAATAATTCCGATCCCAAACCCTATAACCAATTATATTGCCATATGAATACGACACAAATGATGCATCTCAAACCCAATTGCATTCTTACACACTTAATTGAACTTCATTTTATTTAACCCGGCCCACTACTATTCCTACATAACAAATGCTTACGCTTAGGTGGTGTTTGGTTCACGGAATCTTGGATTACCCTAGGTAATAGGATTACCTCCTGGAAGGTAATGTGAGATTTTGGGAATGTAAGATTACCTTGTGTGCTTGGTTTGGATGGTGTAATATAATATTACCTTGTTTGGTTAGGGTTATATTTTAGGTTATATGGATCAATTTACTATAATGCCCTCAATATATATATATATATATATATATATATATATATATATATATATATATATATATATATATATAATATATTATGTGTGTGTTTTTATTTATATCTATGAATGTATATCAAAACTTAAATATTAAAAAAAAAAATTAATTATATAAATATACACATATGTATATTTAATTATATAAACATATATTAATTTCATTATTATTATTATTATTATTATTATTATTATTATTATTATTATTATTATTATTATTACTATTATTATTATTATTATTATTATTATTATTATTATTATATAAGGATTAGTTTTTTTTTCTGAAAAAGGAGGGGTATACCCAAGGGCCGTTATGCAACCCTCACAATAAAAGTCTCGCCAAAGAGGCCAAGCTCATCTTCACGTAGAAATCTTTGGATGTCTCTTGGTGGGCTAACAAACCAATTGAAAACATCCCCTTGTGTGTAAGCCTGGTTGGCCAACATGTCCGCCACTTTATTTTGTTCCCTAGGAGCATAAGTGAAAGAAATCTCCCAATTGCGTGTTTTGGCATCTCGACAAAGCTGAACCAGGTTCTTTGCCGTTCCATCGTAGTCCTCTGCTCCATTAATCAAATTTATAGCTTTGGAGCAATCTGTCTCAAACATCACTTTCCTATAACCCAACTCCCATGCCTTTTGTATTCCAACATAAATTCCCCAAACTTCTGCTTCCAAAGCACTGCAGGTACCAATCTTCTTTGAAAAACCTCCTATATACTGTCCTTCGTTGTTCCTTAGAACTCCACCGCAAGCTGAATGTCCTTTCGTTCGAGCACATCCATCTGTATTAACTTTGATCCATCCTTCATTTGGGGGTCTCCAAGGTTGTTTGCGTCTGGTGTCTTCTCTTTGTCTTCCTCCTTGCTCCGCGTTCCTGCTTAACACATCCTCGACTTCCTTGAACTGTCGGTGTAGCCAGGCAATCTTTTCATTGATGTCCTTCTCCACTCCATTAAAAACTCTATCGTTTCTCCACTTCCAAATCCACCATGCCGTAATGGCAAATCTGGCACATCTTTGCCTTCTTCGTTGTCCTCCCTGGTTCCCTGTCACATTGGTTTTAAGCCAGGTGTTAAAATCTGAGTTTAGAGACATACCTTGATTATCTCCATTGTTGATTAGCTTCCACACTTCCTCTGCTGCTGGGCAACTTCTCATGGTATGTTCCACATCCTCCTTTTCTGCACCACAAATGGCACAACGTTCATCTGCTGTGAAGCCCCTCTTTCTTCTCTCAGAGTTACACATAATTCGTCCATGTTGGACTAGCCAGATGAAGGTACGAATTCGATTAGGAACTCGGAGCTTCCAGGTTGCCTCCCACTCTCCATTCTCTTGGTTTCCTGTAGTTTGGCGAGTTAGTTTGTAAGCTGATCTAGTCGAGAAAGATTTATCCTCATTAGGGCTCCATCCCATACTATCAACTCTTTGCTCATCATTAATAATAACTCTCGCAGCTAGTTCGGCTCTTTTGTCGGGGTGGAGACCTATGTCGATAGCGTCCCAGTCCCAACGACCTCTTCCATCCCATATTTCCGCCACCTTAATATTGCCAGCATCCCTTTGCATTGGACCGATCAAAAAACTCTGGAGAGATTCGTCACCGATCCAGCGATCCTCCCAGAAACTAGTATTTTTACCGTTCATTACCACTTTCATCATACCTCTCTCAAGAATAGGCACAGCTGCACAAATGCCCTTCCAGATATTGGAGTCATTCCTTTTCCTTTTCATTCTATCCATGCTCCTTTCTGCTTTCATGTATTTGCATGAAAGGATCTGGGACCAAGTATTAGTTCCATCTTTGAGAATTCGCCATCCAAGCTTAGCGAGTAAGGCAAGGTTCATGTTCCTCATTGATTTGATTCCAAGACCGCCTTCTTCTTTTGGCAAAGTAACCGTATCCCAGTTCACAAGGCTCGTTTTTCTCTTGGTGCCATCTCCTCCCCATAAGAAGTTTCTCGTGGTCTTGTCGATTGCATCACACACCCCCTTCGGCAGAAACATAGTTTGCATTGCATACGAGGGAATGGCATTAAGGACCGATTGGGTCAAAACTTGTCTTCCTGCAAGGCTTAAGAAACGGGTCTTCCACCCTTCTAACTTACTCTGAACTCGATCCAAGATACTTCTGTAGTGTTCTTTTGTGATCCTCCCATGGAGGGAGGGGACCCCTAGATATCTGCCTAAGTCATCAGTTGCCGGAATGCCCGCAATTGTGGCTATTTTGTGCACATCTTCCCTGCAAACATTTTTAGAAAAGAAAATGTTTGATTTAATTTTATTAACTTTTTGCCCAGAAGACTTACAGAATCTGTCGAGGCAATTCATGATCGTACAAATTTGGCTCTCATTTGCTTCCGCAAACAAAACCATGTCGTCTGCGAAGAAGAGGTGAGATATGCTCGGCCCATTCCTCGACACTTTGATTCCTTTCCAACTACCTTGAGTGACTGCCTCGGTTATAATATGACCTAAACGCTCAATGCAAAGAACGAAAAGGTAAGGAGAAATGGAGTCTCCTTGCCTAACTCCTCTTTCCGGTTTGAAACGTTCAAGTTTGTTCCCCTCCCATAGAATGGACATCTCTGCTGATTCCACACAATGCATGATGTTTCTAACCCAAACGTCATTGAGGCCAACTTCTTGAAGAGTGTTTCGAATAAAGCTCCAGTCCAGTCTGTCGTAAGCTTTTTCGAGATCAATCTTCAAAACCATATAGCCTGGCTGGTTCTTCTCGGTACGAATTGTATGAAGGATCTCTTGATAGGTAATAATATTATCCGTTATCTGTCTCTCGGATACAAAACTTCCTTGATTGGGGCTAACCACCTCTGGCATAATTAATTTAAGTCTTTGCGCCATGATTTTTGTGACCAATTTATATGCCACATTGCAGAGACTTATGGGCCTTAATTGATTCACCTTCTCCGGCCTTTGAACTTTTGGGATAAGAACGATATTGGTCTCATTGAGACCATTTGGGAGGCTGCCAATATTGAAAAAATCATTCACTAGTTGATATAAACTATCCCCTACAATGCTCCATGATTTTTGGTAGAACATTGCATGGAGTCCATCTGGACCCGAGGCCTTGAGCGGGGCCATCTCCATTAAGGCATCTCGCACTTCATCTTTGGTAACCTGTCTGTTCATGTGTAGCCATTGTTCCTCTTGAATAGGTGGGAACATACCCGTAAAATCATCATGGTTGGACTCCTCATTTTCTTTCCTGTACAGACCTTTAAAATAATTTTGAACCATGGCTTCTAACTTAGCCTTTTCGCTTACCCAATTGTCGTTATCATCCTTGAGACCATAAACTTTATTCCTGGTCCGACGGACCATGGTTGCAGCATGGTAGTATTTCGTATTTAAATCGCCAGAAAGGATCCAGTCTTCTTTAGATTTCTGAAACCATTTCAACTCTTCTTGATGTAGGACCTCCTCTAATTCTTTCCTAAGCTTTCTTTCAAGTTTAATGAGCCCATTACTTGATTGACTTCCCATGCACCGTTGAATACCATCTATTCGTGCCATGAGCTTTCTTTTCCTATTTTCGATGTTGCCAAACACTGATTTATTCCACTCCTTACAATTATTTTGAGTGGCTGTTATATTTTCAATAATACTCATGTTGCTCTTCCAGTGGCCTTCTATCATTTTTAAAAACATAGGATGCCTTATCCAAGCAGCTTGGAATTGAAAGGCCAGGTTCCCGCTAGTTCTTGTGGTTGATCCAAGCTCGATAAGAAGAGGAGAATGGTCTGAACAAACCCGAGTTAAGTGAGTCACCTTGGTCTCCGGATGATTCGTAGTCCACTCCAGGTTGCACAAAGCTCGATCAAGGCGAGCTCCAGTAAAAGTGGCTTTCTCCTTTCCTCTCGTCCAAGTGTACCTAGCACCAAAAAAACCCAAGTCAATTAATCCTTCTTTGAATATCCATTGACGCATACCTGCACATCTGTTGTTGCCAAAATTCTCCGTGTTGCTCACATCCTCCATGCAAGTAACAGCATTGTAGTCTCCCACCGAGAGCCAGCTTTCCCTCATGCTGAACCTGTCGTTGGAGAGCCCTTCCCAAAGTTTGTTCCTGTAACTTTGAGACGGACTACCATAGACGAAAGACACCAGCCCTATATTTCTGTTCTCCTCGCCAATTCTGGTAAGGATGAACTGGGGGTTAGTTGCAATAATCTCCACCTTTAGATTGTTGTTCCACAAAAGCCAAATTCCGCCACTGAACCCAACTGCTTCGACTCTGAGCCAGTTTACAAAGCCAAAGCTTTTGCAAGCCTTGTCAGCAGCGTTACCTGAGATCCTCGGCTCCAGTAAGCCCACCATATCAACTTTGAATTTATTGACAAAAGAGGAGAGAGCGCGTCTAAAGCCAGTGGACGCAGCTCCCTGGCAATTCCAGGACATAATCTTCATAGAAAATAGAAAAAAAAAAAACAGCCTAGACAACCCAAAAGCACAAAACGAAAACAAAGAGAGGGGCCCTAGAGGAGGGCAACCCCCACACCAGTCAGCGACTGGCCATCACCAACACAAACGCCAACCATTGGATCACCCGGCTCACCATCATGAGCCATTGGAGACGAGTTCGGGGGGTCGTGATGATGTTCACCTCCCTCGACTTGTGTGTGCACAATATCCATGGATTCCCCTTCTTCGGATATCATGATTCTCTCCACTCTACTGCCATTGTCGTATCCTCTCACCACAGTATGTCCTTCATTTTCCGCTGCCTGGTTCGAACGTCTATTAGTCTTTGCAGTAACTTGTGGCCCTTCGTTCTTTCTGCTCGCCATCGTACTTCCCATGTTGTTCTTCTTGCTGGGCTCTGATTTATCATTAGTGATTTGAGCTTCAGTAATTTGGACTTGTGGTCTTTTACCTTTCCCAGCTAGAAGTGCCCCTGTTGGGCCATCAGGCCTCACAAAACTAAATTCCTCTTCATGGGCTTCGGTCTCCTCTTCCTGGGCTACCTTTTCCATATTCTCTCCTAGATCATCAAGGGCCCCAAACCTTGAGTTATTCCAGATTTTAAAACCCTCTTCATTAAAAACCTTACCGTTATCTCCGCGGTTATCTCCATCTTTCCTGTTAGATGTCTCGCCTTTTTCCACGTTAGCTTTCCCTTTATATCGTCTCGGATCACCTCTGTTTTGGTAAACCCTTGATTTCCTCTGCGCAATCATCCACGTTCCATATTTTTCTTCTAACGGTCTCAAATTGCCCTGATTCTTCTCATTGTTTCCTCCGACTTTCCATACTGGCCCATCTCTTGTCTCGGTCATGTTTCCGACTGCCTTCTCCGCCACTACACCGCCTGCCTCCGGCATCATGATAGTTATTTTCGTCACTTCCTTGTCCAATTGATCGTCCGACACTTTGCATGCATCCTTCCGGTGACCCACCATTCCACATTTGAAACAGACCAGATGGAGACCTTCATACTCGATTGTCCTGCGCTTATTTTTCAACTTGAAACTGGCTATGAGGGGTTTTGTTATGTCTATTTCAACACACACTCTATAGCAAACAAACCACGGGACGCCATGCTTGTTGCATGATCGACCTTGACAGCCGATCCTATCATATCTCCCACCCTCATCAAGAAATCGTAGTCGTAGTATTCTATTGGTAGGCAAGGGAAGCGAATCCAAACGAGGAGTCTCTGAGTTTCATCACGCATGGGATCAAAGTCTGGTTCCCAGTCTTTGACGGCTAAGCAGTGATCAAGAACAGTCCATGGTCCTTCCAGCCTTGCATGTTCGTAATCGGCGACTGATGCAAACCTAACCAAATGGTACCCGTTTTGTATGGCAATGAGATCCATACCTGATTTTGGATTCCATATGGTTCTTAATCTTCGTAGTAAATAGTTGTATCCAACCGTCTTCCCTAGGACTTTGATTATCAATGTGTTTTCCCATCTACGCCTCATCCTTCTCTTTTCTTCTTTCGTCAGTTTCACAACTGGGCACATCGGATCATCATCTTCTTGCTCGCCAGCTTCGTCATCAGAGACATCATCAGTCCGCCCCACATTGTCATTCAGTCCAGTTAATGCTCGACGGAATGATATTGGTGTGTTCGCCGGACTAGGAACACTTTGGTTGTTCTTCTCTTTCATAACGTCCAAACCAATCGACGTCCCATTGGTTTGAGGTCCCATGTCCGCTTCCATCTCCATCGTCTCGTTATCCCGCTCAGTAACTCCTCTCTTCGTTTTCTTGGTACTTCGTTGGAGGAGATCGGATTCCTCCCTAGTAGCGCCGGGCGGAGTGTGGTTTCCCGGTGAGCCAGAGAGATTCATAGAGAGAGACGAATCAAAAATTAAAAAATATATAAGGATTAGTTAACAAGGGCAAAGTTGGAATAATTCAAGGTAATCTAAGATTACCTAAAAAAATGGGGGTAATCATATTACCTTGAAACATTACCGCCACATCAGCTTTCAGGTAATATAACATTACCTGGTAATCTCATAACTTGAACCAAACAATGTAATATAACATTACTAGACTCAGATGACCTAGGTAATCTAAGATGACCTGAACCAAACGCCTCCTTAGGGGTAACCCACTTAAGATGTGGCAAGAGATCCAGGCTGGTAATTAACCACCATATTTCAAGTTCGAATCCTTGCCCTCTTGATTTGAGCCCATCAACTATGAATAATCTAGGCTGGTTTACTCATGGCCTTGTGGTAAAAAAAAAATTTGCTGGCTAGGATCAAGGTGAGATTTACTCACACTCAAAAAGGTTGTAGGGTTTCCCGAGTCATTCAAAAAAAAAAAAAAAAAGAGCTTACGCTTATTAGTCAATGCAAGAATTATGATATTCACCGTGATTTACATCTTCCCACATGCTCTATCGGGTCGGAGTGTGGGGGCCCTTAGGGTTGAGGATTCAGCCTTTTGGGGTAAGAATTATGATATTCACCATATAAATATATAATAGTTTTTAGAGAGTCAATCTACAATACCAATTGATATAGGGGTCTTTAATTTTGTGACTCTAGCTAACTACCATCAGATATATTTTTATTAGGTTGTATATATCGTGTTCACACACACATATATAGAGACGAATCGATCTTCATATTTATTACGTACACAGTGATAAACAAGCTAGATAGGCGATACATAGAAGAGCTGCGCTCCTAGCTAGAAGCTAGCTACCCTACAATCTTCACCTTAATAAAGAAAAAAAAAAAAGAAAAAGTGCAGACATATATAGCTAGGTAGCATGCATGCATGCATACAGTCTACGTTATTATTCATACAAATACGACGTATATGAATTGAAGATCGATGTGATACGATGATCCATGGAAGAAATTAAGCGACCACAGAGACTTTCATCTTGAGATTGAGAAGACAGTCGGTGAAGAGAGAAGAGCAGAAATAGAAATCGCCGATTTGGTTCAGAGCGAAAGACGTGCTGCCGCTGCCGTCAATGAACAGTTTCGTGTCTGTAATGCAATTAAGGAGAGAAGCTTCATTTGGCAGTCGCACCACGTTGTGCACAAGTGGCAAATAGTTGAAACCTGCCCAAATTTTTCATAAACAATATTTTTTTTTAGTGATAAGAGAAACCCGCAAATATTATATTTTTAATGTTAGTTAAGCAAAGAAAACGTTCACTTTTTTTTTAGTAACAAGAGAAACCCGTAACCCCCAGAGGCACTTACGGAGAGTATCTCCGACTTTGAAGACCCTGGCGGAGGCCCATGCATTAAAATCAACGAGCAGGTTCCAACCTAGAAGGTCGCCGACGACGTGTTCGGTGGCCAAGCTTGGGGAGGCAAGCCCCAAAATGAGGAACAAGCACAAGAATTTGGTTGTAGAGGAGGAAGCCATTTCGATCTTCAATTCAATTCTAGGGTTTTTATTTTGTGATTAAAGGATATGAAGAATGTGGTGAGGGTGATGATGATACGAGGGGGTTTATATAGTTGAGGTTTGATGGGGATAGTACAAGGTACTAGGTTTTTTTAATTGTCGATCAGATCAGATCTGATCTATCTCCGCGTATTTATAAATAATAATATATCGGTTTCATTTTACAATGATTATGATTTAATTTACCAATTTGCTGACATTATTTTAATTAATTCCGCTGGCGACCATGTGCACAATTTGATGAATATATTTGTTTTGTGAGATTCAATTCACGTTTTTTTTTCTTTTTTTCTTTTTGTAAATAAGAATTGAGTAAGAGACTCCGAGTAGATTGAACATGATTTTTGTATTTGATATTTGTAAGTTTAATTGTTTACATGTTATTATACATGAACAGAATTTATTTAGTGTATGATGTAAATTTTGATTTTACAAAAGAATATTCATAATACTTGGAAACTTCGATTTGTACTAAGCTTATAAACATGCATTTCACTGAGGCATAAATAACAAGTAAATTACATAAACTTTTCACAAAAGACAAAAGAAATAATAAAATAAAATAAGTCTGCGGCGGCTTATACCCTAAACTAGAGGGCCGGCGGGCAGGCAGGGCACATGAATGGTCCACCGTGGAATTAAATCTTTATATATATATATATATATAGTCAATATTGTGGAATTCAATGAAATTATAATTTCCAGCTAATGAGAGTACGTACTAATCACGTGAGATCTGATACTAAACAAACACAACCTAGTACAGATCAATCGTGCCCTTCTCCGTAATAACCTGCATATATAATGCATGCATGCATGCATGCCTAATGCGTAACCCTAACCATTGCGAATGCCCTTAAGCTATATATGTCTCTCTTGTATGTATTTTGGCTTATCTTTGTATAAATGTAACTTTTTTAATCATACTTTACTTTAAATTTGTTCAGCATTTCGAGTCATGTATGTATAGATTATATGATTTTTGTGTATATATGTGGAGCTCTATATCTAATTTAAACTTGTTCAACATATTCTATAGTGTTGTTAGATGAGGATATGGATGACAACATGATAGGTATTCATTAATTTAAGAACTATTGAACTCGATGAATTAGACTATTATCTGAATTTGACTCGAGTGAATCCGATATCCAATTGTTACCTACCTTTTCCTATTATAATTTAATAAGACGAGATACTTAATTTTATCTGACTCACTACCATCCCATACAAGGAATGTTCATGCTAGGTAGCAAATCTAGGGCCACGATTATAGAGGCACAATGTAGCAAAGACATGTCAGCACCGATTGTATGTCAAGATTAAGCTCTTACTACTACATCAAAAGATATAGCTATTAGCAAGGTTGCAGTAGGCGCTAGGCGCTAGTCGAGCGGCCGGGCAGCGCCTAGCGCCTAGGCGGATTCTAGGCGGCGCTAGGCGGGCACCAAAAAAATTAAAAAAAATAGTGACAGACTTGTAGTTCGACAATTTTAATGAGGTTGTTTTCAACGTTCACTCAAATAACACATCTAAATAAATGAAATAATGATAATTTATAAGTCATAATGTCATAATAATATTAAAATCAATAATTAATGAAAGACGACATCGGTCAAAATCAGACAAAATCGATCAAAATCGGTCAAAACGGTCAAAATCGGACGAAATCGGTCGACTCGGCCGAGTTGACCGACTCGGCCGAGTTTGACCGCCCAGGCCGCCTAGGCGGCCGACCGAGTTTTGGCCGCCTATAGGCCAAAACTCCAAGGCAAGTGGCCGCCTAGCGCCTAGGCGGCTAGGCGGCCGAGTTTTACAACACTGGCTATTAGCTAGTATCAAATCCTGGCCTTGTTCTAATAATTGTTTAATTATTTGCTCAAGGAAGTGGCATTAGACTAGGATACCTACGTGTATTTCTGCTTGATTCCTTAGTTATTTGTTCTCCCTAACCTCATAGATAGGTTGTTATGTTGAAGCATATAGAAATTAATGCTCCCTAGTTTAAGTCATATTTCTTTATTTCGTGTTTTTCTCTTGTTTATATGTGTTTGTCTTACCTTTTATGATTTGCTTAGCTTCTTGTTGATTTCCTAGTGCTAGCGCCTATCTGTTACTTGTATTTGCATATTACATGCAATAATTCCCAATCCCAAGAGAACGACAAAACATCTGTGCTTCCCTTTGCTGCATCAAGCATCTTGTGCTGAGTAGACACTTCCTAAACATATATATATATACAACCTTGTAATAGAGTCGATAGTACTAAAAAAAAAGTATTTTATTTGATAATTCTTTATTTCTAAATAACAAAATCTATCTAATTTTCTACACATATGTAGTACTTAATATCATCTAATTTTAATTTCCTAAACACATATGTTCTAACATTATTTTAACTTCATAATATAAAACAATATGGTGACATTTTTATAATTATGACAGTATATTTAGAAATATTTTAGCGTGTATATTTAATCATTTTCAGTCTATCCGACGCGCACACATTTAATTCCATGTGATGTGCATGCACCTAATTAAGAAAGAATATAAGAATATTATATTCATCATAAAACTTGGAAACTTCGATTAGTACTAACCTTATAAATTACAGCTCTTTCTGACTTTCTCCGATCCGAGGATTAACTCATTAGTAAATTAAAATACATCAACCATCTCCGGCCACTTCGGTATATATTATTGAGTTAATAACCAAAATAGTTCATTGACTATGAAAATCATGGGGTCATCTCTTTCTGGACAAGTGGAGTAAAGTTTATTATGGAGTAATTTGGTATAGTTATATTATGGCCCTGTTTGGTAAAATGGCTGTTAGCTGTTAGCTGATTGTGTTAATTAGAGGGTATAAATAGTTGATAACCTTAGCTGATTGTAGAAAAGTGTTTGGTAAATTAGCTGTTAGCTGATAGCTGTTTGACATAATTTCTTTTCTCAAAAAGCTAATTGAAAAAGTTGCTTGGAGTAGCTTTTTGAATTTTAGCCTTTTGGAGTTGCAAAAAGCTAATTAACTAAACATTTATATTGATATTTTAACTAAATCAAACAATTAATAGTGGTCTAGCATTCAAAAAAAAAAAAAAAACAATTAATAGTGGTCAAATAGGTCAATTTTTTACCAAACGGGGCCTATATATAATTATACTAATTAAGTCAACCCATTATGACAAAACTTCACTCAAAAGGGCTCCAGAAAAGGACTCAATTTTGTTACATTTCCTCTTGTAAGTGTGCAAAAAGTACTGTTCCACTTTGATACTCAGATAATGGATCCAAAAGAATAGTCATTGTCAAATATATATATAGAGCTGATAGAATATTTAAGGGATATATAAAAAAGAATCAAGGAGAGCCATTGCAGCTACTATCATGGGAAATTAACCTATTTAATTGATTATATATATAACTATATGTAGTTATTTCTCTCACCAATGTAACTATTTATATGTAATGGTAAGAACGTCAATTTTAATCCGACTCATCAATATCACATAAATTCACTTTTTATGAATAGAATATTTTTAAATGATAGTCGATTGTGGATCATAAGTAAATTTTAAAAAATCAAACCCTGTAATGGATTGGGTGGGCCCTTACTGAATTGAAGGTCAGGTCTCTCTTGTATCTTGAGTCTTAACCTTATTCAGTATTCAATATCGTTAATTAGATGAAGATATGAATGTCAACATGATGGGTACTCATCACCCATTTAACAATAATTCCGATCCCAAACCCTATACCCAATTATATTTCCATAACGACACAAATAATGCCTCGCAAACCCAATTGCATGTTACATACTTAATCGACCTTCATTTTATCTAACCCGGCCCACTACTATTCCTACATAACAAATGCTTACGCTTAGGGGCAACCCAGTCAAGATGTGGCAAGAGATCCACGCTTGTAATTAACCATAATATACAAGTTCGAATCTTTGCTCCCATTTGAGTCAGTCAACTATGGGTAACTTAGACTGGTTTACTTCTAGTCTTGTGGTAAAAAGAAGTTGATGGCTAGTTACTGACACTCAAAAGGGTTGTAAGGTTTTCCGAGTCATCAAAAAAAATGCTTAGGCTTATTAGTCAATGCAAGAATTATGATATTCACCATATAAATATATAATAGTTTTTAGAGAGTCAATCTACAATACCAATTGATATAGGGGTCTTTAATTTTGTGACTCTAGCTAACTACCATCAGATATATTTTTATTAGGTTGTATATATCGTGTTCACACACACATATATAGAGACGAATCGATCTTCATATTTATTACGTACACAGTGATAAACAAGCTAGATAGGCGACACATAGAAGAGCTGCGCTCCTAGCTAGAAGCTAGCTACCCTACAATCTTCACCTTAATAAAGAAAAAAAAAAAAAGAAAAAGTGCAGACATATATAGCTAGGTAGCATGCATGCATGCATACAGTCTACGTTATTATTCATACAAATACGACGTATATGAATTGAAGATCGATGTGATACGATGATCCATGGAAGAAATTAAGCGACCACAGAGACTTTCATCTTGAGATTGAGAAGACAGTCGGTGAAGAGAGAAGAGCAGAAATAGAAATCGCCGATTTGGTTCAGAGCGAAAGACGTGCTGCCGCTGCCGTCAATGAACAGTTTCGTGTCTGTAATGCAATTAAGGAGAGAAGCTTCATTTGGCAGTCGCACCACGTTGTGCACAAGTGGCAAATAGTTGAAACCTGCCCAAATTTTTCATAAACAATATTTTTTTTTAGTGATAAGAGAAACCCGCAAATATTATTTGACTATAGACAGATAACATTAGGTATTAAATGCCCATGCATGCATGCATGGAGGTACTTACGGAGAGTGTCTCCGACTTTGAAGACCCTGGCGGAGGCCCATGCATTCAAATCAAGGTTGAGGGTCCAACCCAGAAGGTCGCCGACGACGTGTTCGGT